AATAATTCATTAAACAAATTTATTGCGGTTAAACATCACAGTACATGTTGAAAATGTTCACCATTTTGTACAAGACACATTCACTTTGGACCCATTGTTCAATTTCATGTTGCAACAGGAACTCCTGAGTGCTAAGAAAATCTTGTCAAAGATGTTTGCAGATTCTGCTCAAGTCGTCTTAAATCATTAACAATTTCCTCAGATACTGAATGTCTTTCAAGAGATTTCCCTTTGTCGACACTGCCAGTTCGAATAAATCTGTTATATCTCTAATATGAGCCTCTAACGATGTTTCTTGAATTATCAAATCCCGGTATTTTGTCAGATATTCTTGCTTACAAACGGTCACAGAATACACACTCTCCGTTTGCGATAATAAGAGATAATAATGAAAGTGTTGTTCAACAGAATAAACCATTTTCATGGTCTTCGCTTCCTAGCACAAAAACAAAAATTTTCGTACGCAAGCACCAAGAGTTTTGAAAACGACTATTTTGTTGTTTTGAGCTTGGATCAACGAGAATTACTGTAATTTATACTTAAAAAACGTTAAAGCAATAAAAACGACGACTTTAAATGACAAGTTATAAATAATATTAATGAAAAATGAAAACTGTCATAATGAGGCATAATTTCAGTGAAGCGGGATTTTTGAAATCCATGGCCAACTACGCCCTTAGAATCTCGTGATCTCTTTTGTTTTGTTTTTGAAATATTTTCAAAGAATCTCGGGGACTCTTTTTATTTTGGTTTTGAAGTAGTTTGAAAGAATCTCGGGGACCCCTCGTGCTTGGTTTTTGAAGTAGTTTGAAAGAATCTCGGAGACCCCTTGTATTTGGTTTTTGAAGTAGTTTGAAACAATCTCGAGGACCTCTTGTGCTTGGTTTTTGAAGTACTTCGTAAGAATCCAGAGGACCCTTTGTGCTTGGTTTTTGAAGTAGTTTGAAGGAATCTGGGGGGGCCCTTGTGTTTTATTTTTGAAGTATGTAGTTTAAAAGAATCTCGGGGAACCCTTTTGTTTTGGTTTTGAAGTAGTTTGAAATAATCTCGGCGACCTGTTGTCTCTGGTTTTTGAAGTACATAGTTTGAACGAATCCTGGGGACCCCTTTTGTTTTGTTTTTGAATTTTTTGAATTGGTTTGAATGGATCTCAGGGGCTTCTTGTGCCTGGTTTTAAAATTAGTTTGAAAGAATCTGGGGGACCCCTTGTATTTGGTTTTTAAAGTACTTTGAAATAATTTCGAGGACCCCTTGTGTCTGGAAGTAGTTTGTAAGAGTCTTGAGGATCCTTTGTGCTTGGTTTCTGAAGTAGTTTGAATGAATCTTGGGGATCCCTTGTTTTGTTTTTGAAGTAGTTTGAAAGAGTCTCGGGGATCCCTTTTGTTTTGAAGTAGTTTGAAAGAATCTCGTGGAAGCGATTGTGCTTAGTTTTTGAAGTAGTTTGTAAGAATCTCGAAGATCCTTTGTGCTTGGTTTCTTAAGTAGTTTGAATGAATCTTGGGGATCTGTTTTGTTTTGTTTTTGAAGTAGTTTGAAAGAATCTCGGGGATCCCTTTTGTTTTGAAGTAGTTTGAAAGAATCTCGGGGACGCCTTGTATTTGGTTTTTGATGTACTTTGAAATAATTTCGAGGACCCCTTGTGACTGGTTTTTGAAGTAGTTTGTAAGAGTCTTGAGGATCCTTTGTGCTTGGTTTCTGAAGTAGTTTGAATGAATCTTGGGGATCCCTTGTTTTGTTTTTGAAGTAGTTTGAAAGAGTCTCGGGGATCCCTTTTGTTTTGAAGTAGTTTGAAAGAATCTCGGGGAAGCGATTGTGCCTAGTTTTTGAAGTAGTTTGTAAGAATCTCGAGGATCCTTTGTACTTGGTTTCTTAAGTAGTTTGAATGAATCTTGGGGATCCCTTGTTTTGTTTTTGAAGTAGTTTGAAAGAATCTCGGGGACCTGTTGTCCTTGGTTTTTGAAGTAGTTTGAACGAATTCTGGGGACCCCTTTTGTTTTGTTTTTTTTTTGTTTTTGAATTGGTTTGAATGAATCTCAAGGACCTCTTGTGCCTGGTTCTAAAATTAATTTGAAAGAATCTTGGGGACCCCTTGTGACTGGTTTTTGAAGTAGTTTGTAACAATCTTGAGGATCCTTTGTGCTTGGTTTTTTAAGTATGTAGTTTGAATGAATCTTGGGGATCCTTTTTGTTTTGTTTTTGAAGTAGTTTGAAAAAATTTCGGAAACCGCTTGTATTTGGATTTTGAAGTAGTTTGTAACACTCTTGAGGATCCTTTGTGCTTGGTTTTTGAGGTAGTTTGAATGAATCTTGGGGATTCTTTTTTGTTTTGTTTTTGAAGCAGTTTGAAAGAATCTCGGAAACCCCTTGTATTTGGTTTTTGAAGTGGTTTGAAAGAATCTCGGGTACCCCCTGTGCCTGGTTTTTGAAGTAGTTTGAACGAATCTTGGAGACCCTTTTTGTTTTGTTTTTGAAGTAATTTGAATGAATCTCGGGGACCTCTTATGCTTGGTTTTTGAAGTAGTTTGAAAAAATCTTGGGGGTCCATTTAGCTGTGTTTTTGCAGTAGTTCGGAAGATTTTCGGAAATTTCTTGTCTTGTTTTTGAAATAATTAGATAAAAGTTAGAGGACTCCATGTGTCTAGTTTTGTAAACAATTTGAAAGAATCTCAAAGTCCGTGATAGGGGGGCCTGAAAGGCTGAAATTTTACTTCATTTAAAAGTTTATAATATTTGGATTCGGCCTCCGGTGATCTGGAAAATTCACGATTTCCAAATGGTCCGATTTGTCTCTGGTTTTACCATTTACACAACATTCTAACAACTGTTCAATAAACTCGCCTACAGACGACAGACTCTAAAAATGTTAAAGTTGATTCAAAAGTCGATGAAATTGGTACTTCAAAACTTACATCCGCTAGCGTTGAATGAAGCTTTTCATTTACATTAATCTATAACAATGGATGCGATATTTTTTAAGTTGAACAACAAAATGAATTTGACAAACCAGGTATTGGTAAATAGTGGAAAAACTGTGGAACAAACTGCGAAAGTAAAATTTTTTACCAAATGTGTGTACGAAATTTTAACACTGAATGTTATAAAATCAACAACAATAATCACTCTTGATTTCTACATATAAATCAGGCATAGTAATAAATTTGTGTAGTGAACAAGGTGTTTTTGTTTACTGTCACATTCTTAAATTACGTGAGTTGATAATGTGGTAATTAATAAATACAAAAAACATTGTTGTATTGTAATTTATCCTCGAGATAAGCAATACAAGTTTATTAGAATAATAAGAATTTATTATTCAGAATGTTATTTATGATAGTGGTTACACTAATTGAATATTTAATCCACTACAACTGTATTTTCCGTAAAAAGTATCAGCGGTTTTATTCCACAGATATGCAGCTTTACCAAGTGACACAATTTTTATACTTACGTTTTTGGTGTAGTCAATATTTGGGGTATTATTAATAATGTGTACTTATTTATAGATCTTGAATTATTTACAGTGTCAACTTTGTCGATAAGGTGCATGTTTTGTAATCTAATATCTATTAAATTCAGTGACAGCTCATCATTATCCTAATACCGGATATTGCTAGTTGGTTTATACATACGAAACTCTATGTCTATAACTAGCATTCATTAAACTAATGAGTCGTTACGTAAAAACACTTTCAGCTACAAAGTAACACAAAATCAATTTGAAAAACATTTTCATTTGCAGGACATATCGTGACATCCGATTTCCCTTTATGAACGTATTGCAAAGATCTGTTCGGGCGATATTCGGATAAAATAATTAAACCTCCAGTAATAATTCAGTATTTTTCCGAAACATTTCTTTCAACAATCGTCCCCGATAATTTTAAAGAAAAATAAACGAAACCACGTTGCTAAGCAATAATCTGATAATCTATTTCGGTGCGGTTTATTAAACATCCGGTGATTAAAGTCCCAAAAAAGTTGAGATTAATAAGTTACGCAAAACGTCCGGTTTCCTGTTTTTCCCTTCGTGGAAAATAAACATCGAGCAATAATTTTCGACTGTCATACGAAAGCGCGCATTTATGGTTCACGTTACCACATGCTCGACAATTTCACTCGAGAAAAGCGGGAAGGCATGTAATGTTATTCTAGAAAATTATGAATAGCCACCCGGGAAAGTTTTCAGTGATGGTGTGGTGTGTCATTCATGAACTGCGCAACTTTGTACTCATTGATTTCGTTCTGTCGGTCGAGGTCGCCGATGAATGAACGTGTGGGCTGAATTGGGGACGTTTTATTGAATTCTGAGGAAAAAGGAATCATGAATTGGAAGCAACGTCGTAGGCAGCATCTAAGGTCGATACATATTCGAAGAACGCCTTTGAATGAACTCATTCGCTTTAATTTTGCAATAAATAAAAACGCGATTTTGTCGATCAACGCAATTTAAGAGACACATGGTCGTCAATGAACATGTGTTTTAAAATATTAAACAATAAAAAAAAACTACTAGAGAATCATAAATTACGTCTGATTGTTTGCACCGAAAAACAAATCGTAGACTAATTAATAATGATTGTGGTAATTGTTGCGCCGGAGTAATTTAATTTATTTTCTATCAAAAGCTATCTAGTCGTCGTATAATTTATTCACAATAATTTAATAACCATTAAGTTGTTTTTGTTGTGTTATGTCATCAGTCTACGACTAGCCCGATAAGAAAAACATAAAATTTTGTTCCACCAAAGTAGACGATAATCCGAAATAAAATAGCGAATGGAACGTTATTCGTGACCTCTTTAGTTAATAAGTGTCGCCATGAGGGTTGCAATGATCTGCATCCTGTCTGATACGTGTAACAAGGATGTGTTCTATTGTAGTACCTCTATGGTGGCAGTGCCCATAAAAATTACAAACCATACGACTTACAAGATTAAAAAAAAAACACTCGACATAATTTATGGTACATGTGTACAACTAGACATATGTTGTTTACTCACCGGAATTTTGCTGGTACGCAAGAACTCCAGCAAAGCCTCTAACGAACCCAGCGTCGACGCCTGCACGTACACACCCCGTTCTTGCAGCTTGATTTTGGACAAAGCCGACTTCAACTCGCGAGTAACATCTTCTTTGAGTATATCAACTTCGTCCGATTTCTGGGCCACAAATAAATTTAATCCGGCGATGGCTTTCTCCAACTCCCGAGCAGCAATTTTAACTCCTTGGGCCGCTTTGATTTCTTTGTATTCAACATACGCGTTCTAAAACACACTACGTCAAAACGGAACTCCTTTTTTTTTTAAATTACTTACTTTGACTCTGAGTTCTCGAAGCGGTTGGGGCATCAGTAAAGATCTAATTTGAGTAACGATCGCCCCGTCTGTACCCGCACATACCATGGTATCGCCTTCTCTTAGCGTCCCGTTGACTAGAATTACATCAATGGTGGTACCCAACCCCGGGATCGCTTTTACTTCCAATACGGTGGCTTGTAGCTCGTCCGAGTACATAAGGCGTTTCGGTAGTTTGGTTTGGCAAAATTCAACGATCAACGCTAGAAGATTGCCCATGCCTTCACCGGTGATTGCACTTGTCGGTACCAGAGAAACGTAACTTCTAATGTCAGGGTTTTCGTAGTATAAAGCGGCGTTTAAGCCTTGTGTGGCGAATTGCACTATGACTTCTTTAGTTCTCTGTTCAAATTCTATCTGGGTGTTTGCTGCTTGCGATTTGATTATGTCTCGTACGTCTTTTCGGCTCATCGTTTGCCAGTCGTAAAGTCTGTCGATTTTGTTTAGGGCTACGATGAATGGCGTTTTTCTGGTTTTTAGAAGGTTGATTGATTCGATTGTTTGTGGTTCTAAACCGTGCATAATGTCTACTACTAGAATAGCAATATCACATAAGGATGAACCGCGACTTCTTAGATTGCTGAAAGACTCGTGACCTGGCGTGTCGATGATGAGAAGACCTGGAACCTTCATCTCCATTTCGCTAGCCTAAATAGATGAAAAGCAGTTGTGAATTTTGCTAAAAATGTTGCAAACTATTGTTTTTAATTTTAAAGCAAACATTTGATAATATGTTTTTAATACTACCGAGAGAGCAATAAAAACACGATGAAAGACAGCTACGGATTTTAAAAATTTTTTCTTTGATCGTTGCATTTTCAACATAATTTTCAAACTGAGTAATCTAAGATTTGTGAGCTAACATGGATGACAATTGTCCAATAGTACCAATACACAACTGGTCTCACAGCCAACTACGACATGATATATCTTATGTGTACAGGGTTTTCAAAAATTGGTCTATAACATCCAAGTGGGTACAGATTTCTTCCGTTTTTTTTCGGACTGTGTAACTATAATCTCAATTGCAGTTCAAATGTGATAATTATTTTGATAGATGACACTAAAATTAACTATAATTATTAAAATTTTACAAGCGTCTACCATTCCTAAGAAGTGGCAAATTTGCAATATTTTTAAATTTCATAGGTCAATAGGTTCATTTTAAACATGTTTTAAGTTTCATGTTGTGAAAAGAAGTCTATGTACGTTAAAACAAAAAAGCAAAATGTAAGCCCTCCCACCCGCCCTATTTCAATTGTGATGACTTTTTTTTTATTCACCGTGAACCAAGGTAGCGGAGCTTAACTGCTAAATACTTATTTCTTTACAACAAATTAAAAACATGGTTTTGAGTATCGTGTTATTCAAAGAATACTATGTATATTAAGAAAAAAACACAAAATATTAACCCCGCCCACCCACCCCATCTCAATTCTGATGATTTTTTTATTCTTAGAAACTCAAAACACGTTTAAAATGGTAAATTTTTGTATGGGTTTTGCAATTAGGCTTTGTACCTAGGTCTGGCAACGAACAAAAACTTCATTACTACATATTTAGATCAGGGCCGGTATGGGTGGGGCCTAATTGTTGGCTTTAATTTTGTCTTAAGGCCAGTCGTTAAGTTTTCCGAGTGAAATTTTCGGTCTATTTTCAGAATGTAATATCTCCGTTATTAACAGATCTATGCTTTTGAAATTTTAAACATACCTTATGTTGTCCATAACTTTCATTATATAGCGCAAGGGTAATTTTGTTAAAAACAGTTTGTGATCATATTTTTCTTTTAATTTTAGTGAAACATATTTTTAATAATCAATATCTCAATTATTGCAGGAAATTTGAGAACACGGTTTTCAACACTGTTTTCAGCTTACAAAACTCCAGAAATCATACCAGATGCACCGTCGTTTTTTTTTGTTAGAAATGATACACAGTAAAAAAAGTTTGTGTCATATAAGTTGCTACCTTTTATTTTTACTATATCTCAATCCGAACAAATAAAGTCAAAAATAGACCTAGTACGATTTCTAAATTTTTGCACGCTGAAAACAATGGTAACAACCCCGTTCCAAAATTTCCATAGATAACTGAAGTATTGATTTTTGAAAATATGTGATCAACAATTTCAATAAAATTAAAAAAATATATGATAATAAATTGTTTAAAAAAAACTGCCCATGCAGTTATGTAGTGACAGTTGTGAACAAATGACATTTAAAATTTCATAATAATAGGTGTGTTAATAATGGAGATATTACATTCTGAAAATAAATTGACACCATCAGAGCGAAACATACCGACTCCTCTTAATATACATAGTATTCTTTGAAGAACACGATACTCAAAAACATGTTTTTAATTTCTCATAGAGAAACAGGGATTTTGCAGTTAAGCTCCGCCCCTTTGGCTCACAACGAATAAAAAAAATCATTACAATTGAGATAGGGCGGGTGGGTGGGGCTTATATTTTGCCTTTTTTCTTAATATACGTAGTAGTCTTGTCAGAACAAAAAACTTAAAACATGTTCAAATGGTAAATTCTTGTAAACAAATATGGATCTTGTAATGAAGCCCCGCCCCTCGATCTGACAACGAATGAAAAACTTATCGCAATTGAGAATTAAGATCGGGGCGGATATATACGTAGTATTCTTTGAACAACACGATACTCAAAAACATGTTTTTAATTTCTCGTAGAGAAATAAGGATTTCACAATTAAGCTCCGCCCCTTTGGCTCACAACGAATAAAAAATCATTACAATTGAGATAGGGTGGGTGGGCGGGGCTACATTTTGCCATCAAAGTTATACTATCAATGGCAACTTGGCAACGGAGTTTATAAATGACAATTTTTTAGATCTAAAAGCTGCAACGGAAACTTCAACGTCAACAGCAAGTTTATCAAGCACAGGCGCGGATACAGGATTTCGTTTAGGGGGGGGGGGGCAATTTTTGTGGTATTTTACCTCCCAGAAATGCGTTCTAAACAAAAAAATTATAAAATTTTAACTAGTATACTCTTTTTCACATAACATGGGTGACATTTGGTTGTTTTCGTTACACGTAATAACCACTTCATACACAGTTGAAAACAAACTTCACGAAGTAAACCTTAATTTTATTAAACAAAATTAAAGAACTGAATTCTTAAGTTCTTTAATTAAAAATTCTTAAGTTCTTTAATTTTGTTTAATAAAATTAAGGTTTATTTCTTGAAGTTTGTTTTAAACTGTGTATGAAGTTGTTATTCAATTTCCTTTCAGATTTTTGGAAAATCGCTGATCCGAACAAATCGTTAATTCGAACACACCTTTTTCCCAATTAATTCGGATTATCGAGGTTCTACTGTACACTATACGTGTAACGATAAAATTACATTGGATAATAGATACATTCTAAAAAAATATTACTCCGTGACCATAAACACGCTATCTTTTTGGAATCAACACGCCGGAATCTATACCCTGAATTTTTTCAGAATTTTTAGACGAATTTTTCAAAAATGTTATTTTCCATTATGTATTCTCGACGATTTTCTAAATTTAACTAAATACATTTTCTTGTAGATTTTGGACCTCAGAAGTCACTTATGGCTTCATTTCTTCGATAACTTAAACCTTTTTTCCAGATTCGTCCAGTTGAAATAAGTACTTATGGCACTTTTTAAAAATTTCGAAAAATTCGAATTTCACACCGAATTTTCGAAAATATTGCTGGGTTACCATTAACATGCTATATTTTTGAAATCAGCACGTCGGGATATACATATCCCTGAATTTTTTCAGAATTTTTAGGAAATTTTTTCAAAAATGAAATGTTCCTCATGCAAATTTCGACCCATTTTCGACGATTTTCGAAATTTAATTTTTTAGTTTTAATTTCTTCGATAACTTCAACCTTTTTTCCAGAATTAGATAATTAATTCAGTGCATTGAAATGTGGCAATTTTTAAAAATTTCAGAATACTCCATACAACATATGTAGAAAGATCTTGCGTCATTTTTGCAACCATCAAATTTTAGCTAGAAACTGTATTTTTGTCGATTTTTATTGAATTTGAACTATATTTCAACGTTTTTTGATGGTTCTGAGCCACCAAACACACTTAAAGCATGCAGAATCGACTCAGAATAGGAAAAGGAGACGTTTAGGTCAATTTTATGCATTCTGGCGTGTTTCCAAGTTCAGTTCAGATTGTAGAGTTTTTGTTCGAATTAAACAAGCATCGACTTCAAATAGCCTGTGTTCGGATTACTGGATGTTCGGGTAATCGTGAATTCGGATTATAGAGGTTGTAGGTACTGTATTTACAAAATGAAATGCGATTTCAAAATTTTGAAATTGGTCAAAATAAAGTACCTCGGTCGTGTGTCAGGGGGGGGGGGGAATTGGACCCATTGCCCCCCCCCCTGGATCCGCGCCTGATCAAGCAGTCTGTTAATTATCATAAACATGAGTGCATATCTCTTTCGGAGTTCCTACTTTTGATTCTTGTGGATTGTTCAATATATTTTCAAAATATAATATCTCCATTATTAACAGAATTATTGCTATGAAACTTTAGGTATCAAGTATTCACAACCTTCACTACAGAGGGTGTCACCAAGCCTGCGTTCATCGACATCTCATTATTAGAAATTGAAAAAAGAAAAAAATCGAAGACTAAAATTGTAGGACTATACTTTACGATTATTTTTATCTATACTGAGTGTTCAGTATTTAAGCGTAAAACACAACTTAGCTTTATTTTATAAACTAGCCTATACGTATATCTTTACATATTTTGAATGACCTCTTCTTAGGTTTTACAACCACAGTTTATTTTTTTACCATTCGATGTTACCACGTTATTCCAATTTTCTTTAAATTTTTTAGCATGGGAAGGGTTTAAAAAAAATCAGTATTTTCTGGAGAGTTTATAAGAAATGAATACAATAATAATTATTGTAAAATTCGAATATTGATATTTTCGATTTTTTCCTGATATAACACCCTATCTTTTATTACTGCATCTTATTCTACTTACTGTTCTCTTTCTTTTCTGATGAGTGTTTTTGATATTTAAAGTTCATAATTACTGCAATTTTTTACTTTTTTAAGAGGCAGAAGGACAGATTAGAAGAATGAAGACAAAAAAAATTGGGTAAGATACGTAATAAAATACAGGGATATTTGAAAATCGTAAAGTTTTAGAAATTTTTCATAATTGTATATTAAAATTTGATTTAGTTGACACAACAACAAAGTGTGGACTTTTATTGAGGCTTCCACAAAATGTTGTAAGACACAATTTAAAAATAACCCTATTGCTATTTTTATTGTGAACCCTTCCATTGCAAAAAAAAATTCAAGAAAATTCAAAATTTCAAAAGTAAACTGTGGTTGTAAAACCTAAGAAGAGGTGAATCAAAATATGTAAAAATAAACAGGATGTTTCATAAAAAAAAACTAAGCTGTATGTTACGCCTAAAAAACAGAACACTCCGTATAGTTAAAAATAATTTTATAGTACAGTCCCCTAAAAACTGTATAACTATGGTCTTTTTTTCTATCTCTAATAATTAATGAGATATCGAGGACCGCACGCCTAGTGACTCACCCTGAATAACGCGAGGGCAGTTTTTTAACAACAAATTACCATCTTTTTTTAATTTCCGTAAAATTTTTGCATCACGTATTTTTAAAAATCAATTATTTATCAAATTTTGGAAAGTTGTTTTCACTACTGTTGCAGCTTACAAAACTATAAAAATTACAGAAGACATTATCGACTTTATTTGTCAGAAATAAGATACAGTAAAAGCAGCTGGTGTCGAAAAAACTGGTTTTACTGTATCTCATTTCAGGCAAAAAAAATCGACAATGTTAAATAATATGAGATGTTGATCTTTAAAAATACGTAATGCAAAATTTTCACCAAAATTAAAAAAAAGGATAAATATTTATAAAAGTGCCCGCGCATTGTATATGTATAGTGAAAGTTGTAGACAAGTTATATTTAAAATTTCATAAGTCTGTTAACAAAAGATATATTACATTTTGAAAATGTATTGAACACCCCACAAGAGTTAATTGTTGACACCTAACGTGTGAAATTATGTGCATTATCAAAAATTTTATGGCAAAATAATTTGCATTTGGTGTTAAGGGCATATTTAATCTCTAATTGATTATCAAAATATGATATATTAAATTAATAATGTCCAGACAGCCCTAGCACTTTGTGGAATATTTTCGACGATTACGAAGCACACCCATACTAATGCAGATACGTATCCCCAAAACAGTTAAAAATATCAGCCTAGTTCAGGAAGAGGACAGCGTAGCTGTTGAAACGCGTCGACATTTTTCAGGTTTGTACAATTACAATTAACAAACCTGAAAAATGTCGACGCGTTTAATGCATTTGAGTTAGCACTACGTAATTACGTATTATTTTTAATATTTCAGTTTTTTATTTTATTTTTTAATATATATAACCTCACGCCTTTATGTACTTACACCTTTGACAAACTTGATTTGTTCTTTGATAGCATCAATAGGAACATTAGTAGCACCAATCTGTTGTGTAATCCCACCAGCTTCTCCATCTTGAACGTTGGTCCTTCTTAGTTTATCTAAAATTTTCGTCTTTCCAGTATCTACATGACCAAGAACGCACACAATGCCAGCTCGCAAATTATCAACGTTCTTAGCCTTTTCTGCCGCCTCCTTTCTTGCCTATAAAATATATCATACAAAATTATACCACCCAGATGAGGCAACAAAGCAAAATACTTTAATACGTTCCACCGCCCTATCTCTTGATTTTTCCGCTGCTGTTTTTGCATCTTCATCTTCTTCATCCTCATCATCATCTTCATCTTCAGATTCTGAGTCTTCTGTATCTGAACCTTCAGATTCTTCTTCCGAACTACTTTTGTCTTGGTCTTCTTCAGTTTTACGTTTAGTTTTTGACTTGTCTTCTGGCAAAAGTTAAAAAACGTTAATCATAGAAAAATTTGAAAAAATTCTAGAGTAACTACCACGAACTGGAGGTGTAACTTCGTCTGATCCGTCTTCGTCTGAGGACGCATCCCACGCGTCTTTAACATCCTCCGCTACCTCTGGTTCTTTTTCTTGCTGTTCTTCTTTTATTGGAACGTCCGTTTCGACTGTTGGAGTTTCTTCCACTTTTGGTTCCTCCAATTCTTCTTCCGGTTTAGAGTCTTTATAACAAAATTATACTTTTAGTCATATAAAAATAATAATAAACTGTTCAAAAATGATTTCTTCATCTTTTTAGATTGTCCTTATTTTTTTTAAGTTATTAATTACATAATTGTGATATTAAAGACATATATCTATGAACTAAATCTACCACACATGTTGAAATTCTTACCTTTAATTTGCTCTTTTTGTTGCTTTGTTGGTTTGATTCTAGTTCCAGGTCTGGGTTTTTTGACTCCTACATCTGGCAATTCAACACCCTGCGCTTTAAGGCTGTCTATCAATGCTTGAGCTCTAGCTCTGTCAGCCTTTTGTTTAGGGGTTAAAAGTTTTCCTTCAGCCTTCAATCTCTCTCTGCGTTCCTTTTCTTTCTGTTTCTTCTTTTCTTTTCTTTCTTGTTCCAATCTGATTGCTTCCAAACGTGCTTTTTCTGCTTCTTCCTCCCTTATCAGGCGTTCTTCTTCTTCACGTTTAAGTCTCTCTTCTTCCTCCTTAATTTTCTTGAGTGCTTCTTGCATTGCAGCTATTGTTTTCTTTCCAGGTCCTGCAGTATTATCATACATTAATGGAAATACATTAATACATAACAAACAGATATACCTTTTTTGGGTTCCTTGCTTTCTTTCTCCTCCTTGGCCCCCTTCTTTTTTTTCTTTTTACTTTCCTTTTCGCCATCTTCCTGTTCTTGTTCTACTGTTTCAATACTCTCTGTGACTTTCTTAGCAGGTTCTTCTGCTTCTGTACTGTCTTGTTTCTTCAAAGTCTCTTTTTTGGCCTGCTTTTTGAGTTTCTCTCTTTCTTTTCTCTCCTTTTTCTTCTGCGCGGCAGTTTTTACTGTACTAGTTTCTTCAGGCTCTTCATTTTTATCTTCGGCGGGTTCAACAGATGGTTCTTTTTCTTGCTTTTTCTTAGGTTTAATCTCTTCTGGAGGTTTTTCAGGTTCAGCTTTCGGTATATCTTCTTTTTTGACGCCTGAATATTCTAATTCTAATTCAGCTAATACTTTTTCTATGTCTTCGTCGCTGTCGTCGCGTCTTTTTCGAGATTTTTTGCCCTTTTTGCCACCTTGTTCTTTAGTCCTATTTTCATCACTATTTTTATTAGATTTCTTCTTACTGTCACTTTTAACGATTTTAACTTCACTATCACTATCACCAGCTGGATTATTTTCTTCAGGATCACTATCATCTACCTTCAGAAGTGCAAATGATTTTTGCACTTTTGAAGTTGGCACGGGTTCGTCATCATCGGACTCATCAGAAATATCAATCTTCTTTTCCTTCTTCGGTTTTGGGGCAGTTTTCTTTGTTTGAAGCTTTTTTGGAACTTCTTCGTCACTGTCATCATCTTGATTTTGCTTAGACCTAGAGTTTTGAAAGTGACAAAGTTTTGAATGTGTTACACAAATGAAATGATTGTTGTGCAATTAATACACTATTCAGTGCAGTTTGAGGTGTTTGCGAAGAAAAATATGTTAGACTAAGGGAATCAACATAACCTCAAACTTTTTAAATGTATGTGTAATACTTACTTTGGAGGCTTAGATTTTTTAGAGTTTACTTTATCAGTCAATTCCTGGGTTTCTACCTCACGCTCAGATTCGCTAAAATTACAAAAAGGGCATTAGATTACGTAGAAATTGACATTTTCACACCATACCTGTCATCCCCTTTAGCTCCTTTACGGCCTTTTTTCGCTTTACCCATTGTGTATACTTAAGTAAGTCACTAGCACAAACTTTATTTATAAAAATTATCATAAGTAAATCACAAATTGTGTGAAAAATTTTAACAATCTGGCATGAGGTCTCTTATGGACATGCTTTACTTGTTCCTATGTGTCATAGGGATTTTATTTATGACGAAACTTGACATTTCCACATATTTGACATTTATACCACTAAATAAGTTTCCCTCGCAATTTTAAATTGTATTGGACGGACAAGAAATTACGGAAGCAAATATTTGATAAAACCGCATGATTTTTTTTATTGGTTATTCTCATAATTTAACGTACTTTTTAAGAAGGAAAATTTATACAAACTTATATTATTCATTGATATTACACAGAGATTATTCTATTTTGCTTGTGCTGCACCCATCTTGGTCACCTTCTGTTGGGGGATTGCACGCACCAAAAGTTAGTTTCTCATAAAGAGCTGTCCTTATAGGCATATGCGGTGACAACGCATTAGGGTTACCAAAAACGTTGAGCGGTAACTGCACATCGCCAAATCCACACTCCTTATTCGTAAATTCTCTTAAAACGTAATCCGTTGTAAAATCGTGGAAAAGCCTGGTATCATTGACTCTTAGCATTACATTATCTACTCTAAGAAAGAATCTTAACAGAATGAAAAAGGAGCTGGGCATAACCCTCTGCAATAAAAATGTTACAATCAAAAACACCAGTTAATAACATATTTACAATTTTGATAGTACATGATGATATCCCATTATCATGAAGTTCATCTTCATACAGCATCAGCTCTTGATAAAACAAGATTTTTTCCTTTTCTTTCAACCTTTCAATATCAATTCGTTCATCAGTAGGGGTAACAGTCACTGGACCTGCTATAGTTCCTTTATAATCATTACTGAATGTCCAATCAAAAGGTTTAATTTTCTCTTTTAATAGTTCAGGTGGTCTGTAATTTACAGCTTGCATTTAACTTTAAGGTTATGTGCACTTATACCTTGATTCATTCCATTCTTCAGAACACGCGACTTTAATTGGTAACTTGCCATTAGCAACAGTTTTCAAGGCATCTAGTGCATTGAATTCTATCTGCCCTCCGGAAGCATGAGTTAATGTTAAAATATTGTTAGGGAAAACCATTTCCGGTAAATGAGGAATATCCAACGTCCGTGTGTATCTACAAACTTACATTAACACCAAACACCTATTTACAAACTGGAAACTTACAAGCAAAGTAAGCAGGGTTCTTGCGACACATCATTACATTTTTCTGTAGTTGCACAAATTGAATGCAAAATGTGCGACTTCTTGTATTTTACAACCCAGTCGTGAAATATGTGTTCTTCCGAATTTACGGGCAATCTCTGGATGTCTATTTCCCCTTTAAACTGATTGACTGTGCTCATTATAACCTAAAAAATTATTAACTTGGAGACAGTGATGCATGTGACAGTTAACACGCTTACTTGATATTTGTGTTTTAGATAAAGCAGAATGTGACTTTATTTTTGGTTATTAAATTTATAGAGGGCTGTCAACGCTATCTCTTCGAAAATAATTACAAAAATATTTCAGTACGCATGCGCATTCTGAACATTTTCAAAACTTTATACCGCGAAATTTAAATCTGCATAGATTGTTCGAAACGCAACCCACAATACTTGATTTAAAACGACGATTTTGATAGTTTTTCTAATAATACAGTTTATTGTCTTTTTATATGTATTCCTGTAAAACTACAAGAGCAGCAGTATTTGTTTACATGGACAGAATTAAACAGAAATAAAGATAACTAAGTAAATAATTTTATCACTGCCAAACGCAATAGACAGCAGGATGTCTCGTCAGTCATGGATGATAACAGGTAGATATGCGTTTTTATTTCCCCAGCGATAGCCAAGGGAAGTTTGTAATAATATCTTGTGACGAATGTCCAATTTCAGTCAGGTCCTTGCACTGTCTAATACTTTTAAATAAAAAAAAAAACACAATTAGGACAAATTTAATATGTTATTAAGCTGTATGAAAACGGCCCTGGGCAATTCAATTGCCGGCTCCCTTGGACCAATAATGTTAGCGATTTCAAAAATCACGTGATTTTTACGCACTTACAATTCCGTTTGATCGGTAAACAGAATTTGTTTATAAGAAATGCCACAATCAAAAGATTTCTTGCCAAAACAGTTATTAAAAATTGTGGGAGAAAGACCAAGACCAAGATCACAAAAGCCAGTTCTACTATACTTATTAATCAATAACTAAGTTGCGCTTTGACCACTGTTTATTTTTAATAACTCCTACAAAACGACAACTCAGATTTGTGTAATATTTTCAAAAAATTATGAACCCAATACTAAATAGCCTTAGGAGATGTTGCTTTAGCCAGGGTTTAATAATAATCTGTTCTTATTTTCTCTTTTAAACAAATTAAGTTTTAATCCGGAAACTTTACATTCACCAACAAAGTTGAAAATTTTAGTAAAATGTTACCAATATTGATTTATGGATTTTAAAACATTGAATAAAATTTAATAATTCATTCATTCCGAAAGGTTGATGGCGTCCGACTAAAAATAATAAAAAAAAAACTCTAGACCCTGAGAGTATTATAAGTATTGTTAAGCTGAGGATTAAAATCCAAATAGGTACATATTTATTTACACAGAACTTCCCTCGTATCTAACGTGTAGTAAATATCAAACGAAAATTAGGACGTATTTTTAAAACATGATTTAATTGTGTAGTTTATGATCCTCTTTAGTCATCTGTCCATGTGAAAAGATTTGTCTAGTGAAAATATGATGGTTGTTGTGTGATTTTAGGCTTCGGTGAGGACTCATGGTTCCTTCTAAGGACTATTTATTTACTATCGGAGACATCTGTAAGAACACTATTTTGATATACTAATAAAAATTTACGATCTTAAGGCTAAGAACCTAAGCCCATACTCCGTAAAATCATAAATAGCAGACCCTCGGTCGAAACTTGGCAGTGGACAAAATGGAGAACAGGGGCGGATTTATTTTATTCTGTAACGAATTTATTTGAAATGTCTGGAGTGGTCGCATGCAAAGGAGCATATTAACAACCTAATTTTTGTATTTGTAGGTCATATATAGCGGACTTTCAACATCAGGAAATTATTTTGTCTCAGTATTTAGTCGAGCGATCTCTGACGATCCCTACCGAAAAGGATATTCGACGAATGTTGGCCCAATGATACTAACGTCTATAAAATTTTATTAATAAACAAGAGTAGTATCTTACTTTTTATAGGTCTCAGGACGGCAATTTAAATTTGAAAAATTTTCCGTCGTTCGACTGAATTTGATAAGCAGCACTGCAGTACAATATTAAAAAAAAAAAAGTTTTCATGTATAAATTTGGGTTTGAAACAAACACATGACTGCGTCCGGTAGTAAAACTGTTGTTGTTTTCACTACAGTATGAAATTTGAAATTTAAATGTCGTTTTAAAATTGTTATTGTGGTTTGCCGCTATAAATTATTATCATTTTCTGTTTAAGTATTTTTGGGGGTATGTACGTATATTTTTACCGGCCTTTGGTATACGAAGTTAAATTGAACATATTTATTATTTTGTTGAGAGTTTTTCAGACCTGGACACACACATTACATGAACTTACCAAACAAACTTCGGAAAATCAAAACATATTAATTCAAGAAATAGCAATATAAAATCGAGTTTGACGTTTCCAAACATTTAACTTCTTCAAGCGATTATAAGAATTTAACGAACATAATCCTGGTAATAAATCGACAAAAATGTCGAACTAAAATACCTATAAAAATTTTCTATCTACGCAAACAATGACAAATAGGTCTAGAGGTGCGGAGCGCATCCAGAGTTTTCAGATTCGGATATCATAAGGCGTCGCGACGCTTTAGCGTCTAGTTGACTCCAGCACAGCTTCTCGCACAAAAGGACGTTCTCTAGTTATGCTTGTTATTTCGTACGCGATGTGTGTTTCCTAGTGCGATTTTTACGTTTGTGGGATTATGGCCCCGGAAATGATGGAGACGACGGTTTATATTAGTTCGCCTATGGACTTTAAAACTAGGTTTAAAAATTGGTGGAAAAGACTGAGATTAAAAGCAGCTCTCCAACACATCGGACTTTTAATAACTCTAATGGCATACACCGTTGCGGGGGGTCTGGTAGGAATTTTTTCTTATTGAGTAATCTGGTAGTTGAACAAAGAAATTTGTTATTCTCAAAGCAAACTAACAAAAGTCTAGTTAATCATTTATATTTATATCTTAAGTTGCTATATAAATAAATGTAAGTGTAGTTACTGCTTAAGTTTTAATTTCCGCAATAAAGTCGCTCCAAACAACACGCTTTTATTGTCTTGTTACCAACTGCAAAGGATAATGAGAAATTTTGGAAATGTAGCCAAACTAATTTTTTATGGATTTTGTTGCAGGATACATCACTCTAATGTTAGCTCATTTAACTTTTCACTTACAATGTAAATGTTTATTTTAGTTTTAAGAACTTTGAGTTATTTTTTTTGCTTTCTGTTTCCGCTGTCCAAATGTTTTTTTTTTTGGAAAATATTTCTAAGAATTTAGGTATCTTAGTTTAAAAATTGCACCAATCGTATTTTCTTTTTGTTAGGAGCGATCAGTCTCGGTAGTGAGAAGATCAATGCTTTACACGTTGTAATCGACCATTTCAAAGACTAAACGAGACTTTATAACTTTAACAGCAATTCAATTTAAGCAAAGTTAAATTGTTTTTGGCTTGAAACAAAGTACGTAATGCAATAAGGCTCGAAAAAAGACGATTTTCAGAAGACGTTTTCGAATATGGAAAATAGAATAATAATCAGATTAAAATACTTAAAAGTTTTCATTTATTATTATTAACAACAGTTGTGTCTTTAGTTCACTTTTTTTTCTTTTTTCTTTTTCACCTTGAGTTCGCCACAGAATTACTCTTGCAGACATGGATCAGAGGTGTCCCATGTAATTGCTCAGGGATTTCACATATGAATATGTGCTGAGACAGTGGTTTGAAAATTGCCAACAAAACCGAACACAAAATTGAGAAACACTGACAAAACTATGGGGCAATTTCATCGCTGATTTGCATAAAAAGTTCAGTGGATGAGCTTTCTTGTGGGAAATAAATTTTTTCGCAGATTATAGACGAAAATGAAGTAATGATGAAAATAATCATACAATGGAAAAATTGTCTTCCTCGACGTCCAACTCTTCAAATGTCTTGGGTGTACATAATAATACAGTATTATTATGACTGTCTCGGCTATGTTATATGAAATATACGTATATTTTTTTTATAGTTTTTATTTATCTTTAATATTACATAGAATATATTAACAAACTTGAAGTACTAAGTTGGCATCACTAAAGACGATAATTTGTCAAATAATGAACAAGAATGCTTCTAAAAATATAAGTTACAGTTGCAAATTATTTTCAGCAAGTAGAGGATGAATGCCTGAAAACGTGTGACTAAAACTTTCAGTGATCAATCGATTATTATCCGTCATTTTTGACACTAAGATGGAAGTTCTATCACCTGCTCACTCCTGGGGGATGTTTTTTCCATCAAAACTAATGCTAAGGACTTAATTGATAAACAGACTGTATGTATATATGTCATCATTACACGTGATGGACTTTACACAAATTTTTAACAATGATAATAAATTTTGACCATCTAAAATAACTAAATAAAAGAACCTAAGTTAACTATATTTGAACGTATTTGTTATTGCATACTGAGTATTTGAGAAATAAAAACTAAAATTAATAGCAAATAAGCAAATAATAATTGTTCTTTTCATGTAAAAATATAGAGGTAATATTACTACAAACAACAAACGTTGAACGTACTTAAAAATTCTTAGCAAGTTTTTCGAAAATTATAAGAACACCTATGTATGTAGAGAATTAATTATCGATTGCTGTTAACCAGCAACTTTCCGTAAAGCAATATCTACTAAAAGTTTGTTCGTTAGTTGAGGCGTGCATTGAATTTTTGTGTGTCTTGAGAAAATAAACAATTTACAGATCTGGAATCATTTAAAGTTCGAGTTTGCTCTGTGTGAATAACTCGCGAAAACGGAATAGCTAAGAATGTTCGATAAAAGATCGAATTAAATAAAACAATTTACACAAACTATCGCTCTACTATAAACTAAATTTAAAATGAGTGTAGCATTTCAGCCCACTTTCTTTAAGTAAATATTTTTGTTTCAGATTTTCCGACGTTTCGAATATCCGGCAGAAATATCGCGGATAAATTATTTCAACACTACATTGTTATCAAAACGGGAGAATTTTATACAGCAAATAGTGAATAACAGCGATATAAGAAATTTGGACTTTTTTATCTCTAGTGAATTAGAAAATTACGAGAAAATCCTACAGGACGCGTTCACGGCCGGTATACCGTTGTTTCCTCGAGAACAACTGGTGAAATGGACCACCCTAAAAGCAGTGTTTTTTTCATCAACGGTTTTAACGACTATTGGTAAGTACACAGCAATAATTAATTATCCACTTGAATTAGAGAGCTTCTGCTCAATATTAATGAATTGTTTTGTGATCGGTGCAAAATTAAATCTCGTGTGATGAATATGTTTACCCTTAGTTTAATTAAGCGCCGCAGAGTTGGATGGAAATTCTTTTCCTCATGAAAAACTACAGTAAGGGTGAATTTTTATTTGCGTTGAAAATACGAAGTGAATTATAATTTAAACGATAAAGAAAAGGAATTGTCTGGGGCTCGATATGTTACATTTTTGTGAAATTAAAGTGTGAAAAAGAAAGTGTACATGGCGCCAATAACTAGCTTAAATCGAAAAGAAATAAAATATTGGAGAAAAACTGTAAGTTGAGAATCATGAGATTTACGATTATGGCTTTCGTTTTGTAGTAGTTATTAGAGCTTTTAATACGGACTTTATCGTCCGAGCAGCCAGCTTTGGAGAAATGTATAGCCAAACATTTTTGTAATTATGGGGTAAATGTTTCTCAAGTTTGCTTAAAATTATAGCAGCTTTTAATTAAGTGATAAGGAACTTTTTTGTATAATGTTTAACGAAGTGTAGATTTTACTTAGCTGAATTTATATTTACATATACATTAATAAGATGCATTAAATAAAACTTCCATGTACATACAGGACACTTTCAGTTTGGCTGTATTTTGTTTGTTTGTTGATTTTTCACTTAAAGAGAGTAATAAGTATTTTAAATTAAAGTTAAAATGTTTGCTGTGCTGCTTAATGATTTTGCATTTTCTAAAACATCATTCTCTTTCACAAACTGAATGAACTAAATACAAACGACAGCATAAAAAAGAAACACTTCGACAGAATACTTCGAAACAGATTAAAGCGAGGAATTGGATATCCTAATTTATTCCTAATGTCTGTATTAAATCATTCGCTAATACTTTGGGATTTTAAAATGGTTTTCAATTTAAAAAAGGACACTGAAGGTTTGAATAGACTGGAGAAATTATTTTAGCACATTGAGGTTTCAGTGTAACAAAGACTTTTTTTGAAGTTATTAGGTATCGCTCACCATTATTAAAATTTTAGTAACTATTACTAATGAATTTTTTTAATGTTTATCTGGCATTATTTAAGAACGAAAATGCAGCGTTTCCTGTCTTCTCCACAATCAGATCTATAAACACTGTTTTATTGAATAAAGAATTTAAACTCTAAACTTTCTAGTAGAACAAATTAATCACATCTTTCATTCCATTCATTTTCACACTTTGTTTAATTCACGTCAGAGGGTATTTTTTGAGTTATTGGGGTAATTTTTTAAATTTTAAAATAATCGAAAGAATCCGCCTTGACGCTAAGAATGTGTTATTAGTTTTTAAAATATTCAACATAATTGACCACCTATTGTGATGAACTTGTACTTCATTCCTCTCTAATAATGGTAATTTACACATGAATATTTTATTTTTCTATGAGTTGTGAATTTTTTACGATCACGTTTTTAGTTAAATATTTCGGAGCGTAATACCAGCTACCAGTGCACTCGTAAAAGTATCGCAATGAAACTGTATCTGAACAGAGGCGTTTCTCCAAATATATTATTGTGTAACATTATTGGGCACTGGCCTTTTGGCAACCCGATGATTTATAAGATTTACACACATTTTGTGATGACTGGTATGTATTTATATAACCTGGCAGGCACGATGTATTTGGTGAAAAATATCGATGATACCGAGGAAGCAACAGCTACAATTTACAATTTATTAAGCACCGTCGCAGTTATAATTAAAGCTAACATTTTTCACAGAAATTTTAAGCAGATTAAAAGCATCGTGGACATGTTTAAAATCGAGGAATTTCAGCCAAGGAACGACGAACAGTGCAAGCTTTTGAAAAGTGGAGTGTTTGTGGCCAGATTTGTCTTTTTTTATTTTTTCATTACGGCTGATTTAACTCTGGTGATGTGGATATCGTTTCCAATTTTGGATAAAGAAAGGCGATTGCCATCCAAAGCTTGGTTTCCTTACGACTACTTGTCGGAGGAATATTATATGCCGACTTATATTTGGCAGAGCATTTTTATTTGCTACCACGCTCTGAGTAATGTTGGAATGGATACTTTATTTGCAATGCTTATGGTGCAAACTGGTGCTCAGTGTGATGCACTTAATGAAGAATTGAGTAATTTAGGAAAAGAGAATTCTAACGACTCTGAGGCAGTACATCAAGATTTACGAAGATGTATTCTTCATCATAAATTAATTTTAGAGTAAAACTGCTGTAACAGTTAGTGGTGTCTATTAAATGTGCTTTTACAGCCTGTGCGATTCCATAGGATTAGCGTTTGGGAATATTGTTTTTGTGCAATTTGTAACTAGTGTTTTGGTTTTGTGCGAAACAATGTTTTTACTGTCTTTGGTAAATACTGTGAATAGTTGCAGATCTATCACATATATTTTTTTTTAGCTTAACACATTCAATGCAACTTTTGTTATGTTACTGTTTTATCAGATTGCTATTTTTACTCAAATATTTTTATATTGTTGGTTTGGAAATGAGGTGGTTTTAAAGGTAAACTTTATCTCACTCCTTGGGAAAATTTAAAACTGTTTTTTTTAAGAGCGAGAAGTTACATTATTCTGCATTTATGTGCAACTGGTACGAGTGTTCACAGCCCTTTAAGAAGGATTTGTTATTTTTTATGACAAGAGTGCGCAAACCTATAATATTGTTCGTGGGAAACATATTTCCTATAACTTTAATGACATTTACAAGCGTAAGTACTTTTTCGTTTTACAGGAGTAACTTAAAAAATGGGAGATTTTAAGATTCATTAAGGACAAACTGTTATATGCTGCTTGAAGTGTGAAATAATTAAGTTTATTTATTAATCAATTTTAGATTTTACGTTCTTCGTGGGCGTATTTTATGGCACTGCGTAAAGTTCATGACAAATCGTAACAATTTTAATATTTGGTCGTTTTTGTTGCGTAATAATGGTGGGATGCTGAACAAAGTTTCATTTTATATGGTCTTAATTAAAAATTATGTCAGTTTTGTTAATTTTTTATGATCCATTAAAAAATTGTGGATCGTAATTAGTTAGATGTTTTATTTATGTGTAGACTGCTATGATTTGCACTTACAATTATTCAGTGACAGTGCTGCAGTTCAAGAACACAAAATGATACATATATTAATCGCAAAATAAAATGAACAGAAATTGTTTGTGTTTTTTTTTTTGTGTTTTGTCTTTTGTTCAGAACTCTTACACCAATTTTTTAAATATTTGAGAAACATTAAAAAATATATAGAAACTTACAGTTGTGAGCTACTCTAACTAATTTTAAACAATCGTTAATTCCTAGACGATTCGTTGTGTTGAAGAACATTATTACATACCAAGTTTCAAGTAAAAATCTGAAATACTTAAATATGAAAAATGCTTAAATACGTGTTTCATTACTTGTGTTGAAGAGCATTAATACCAGGTTTTACGTAACCATTACCACAAAAAAACCCCTACACACCTCTTTTCAGCCCTTTAGGTTTTGAATTTCATCTCATCAATCATAGAATTCTGAAATATGTGTTTTACTTTGTATTTGTGTGAAGAGTATTAATACCAAGTTTCATGTACAAATGTAAATTTACTGTAGAAATATTGGTCCTAGACAAATTTTACCACCCCTTTTTGGGGGATGAATTTCGAGAAATGATGCCTCCAGTATAAAATAAATATTGTCCCCAAATTTCAAATTTCTATCGTTAGCGGTTTGGGCTGGGCGTTGACAGATCAGTCAATTAGGACATTGCCTTTTATATATTGTTACATTGAACGGGCTCAATAAGCTCAACAATTTATTTCTTAGTAACTTGAATTTACACGACTAATTACACAGCGACCATGTACAAAATAATTCCGGTGCAACTTGATTGGCTTTGCTTAACATTCGCTGGACTCGACTCGAATGAATAATCATTCCCGAAGTTGGCCTCTATTTAAATCCATACTACCTTCTAGATGTTCGGCGATCGGGGTCTTTCTGGAATACACCGACGATGAGTCACCCATTATCGCCGTACATACTAGAAACCATAGGCGTCGTACCGGGGCGGCGTATGGGTTTATTTCGTAACAATATACAGGGTTAGTATAAAGTTCCGGAACGAATAAATAACTTTGTTGTTTGAAAAGCTTTTTTTTTAGAAATTTGGTGTGGATATATAGTTGAGCATGGTGACTTGATTAAAATATTTTTCCTTTTTTTATGCTTTCGGTTTAACACACAAGGCCGCCTACTTTTTTTTAATGGAACACTATGATTTTTTTTGACATTTTCTGATGCAGAATAAAAAACTAATTTCAGAAAAAAGTAGGCGCTCCTGCCTGTCAAACCGAGAGCGAAAAAAAAGGAAAAATGTTGTAATCAAGTCGCTATGTTTAACAATATATCCAAAGCAAATTTCAGAAAAAAACTTTTCAAATAACAAACTTATTCGACCATTCCGGGACTTTATACTAACCCTGTATATAGATAGATTGACAAACTTCTGACTTAATATACACTAAAATGGCCGTTAGAAGTAAAATTGGAAATTAAACTCTCGTATTCTTTTCTTTTACATTGTTTGTTTTATATTATTCACAAAAATGTTCTCTAGCTCAGTACTATGTATACAAAATTAGCCTAAATTAATCTGGAAGTTTTATATCCCCTGAAACATAATCAGATAAATAATATAGTTTCTTAGATAAATTAGATAAAATTTGATTCTGCATGTTCTTTGATGACGCTGCCTGTATATTAAAATAAAATGTGGTTTCATATTATTAAACAGAACTTCCCGTGCCCCTGAAGTGCAATCAAACATATGCAGTTTTTTAGGAAAAAAAAAACAATACTTTTTTCGCTTATGCACGGAAGTAAAATAGATAATATCAGTCACAGTGTAAGAAAACAGGCACCATCGAAACCACCGATCTTCGCTCTAATTTAGTTAGTAATCTGCATTGTTGAACTGTACAATTTTGAAGCACAAATTTGACTTTTTTAAGCTACATGTTTACTTATTGTACAATACCAATTTACAAAAAAATGGCCTTATTTAAATAAATTGAAATATTAAATAAGATACAATTAGCACTATGTAATTATTTCATTAAGAGGAGATTATTTCTTCATTTGAAAAAATGGAGCCTTGTCTAAATTCTGAAAAATCTTTGGTGTTTAAATTCTTATAAACGGTAGTGTATAAGACCAAAAATAGAGGTGGATTAATAAATTACACCTATAAAGATATTATTTTACATAATTTAAACAGTATTTATTTCATAAAATTTTTAGAAGATGTAATCAAATTGTGGTGGAGATGATCAAAGGAATTTTGGTTAGCGTTTTACCATCAACATGATTCTATGCCTAATTAAAATCGCCAACATAAGACATACAGCTGGTTTCAAAAAAAAAAAAAAACGGGACAAATGACAATGACATGAACGTCATATTCCCACTGCTTTTCATTGATCTATGACAACCTGATTTGCTCATCTTGTCCCGTTTTTTTTTAAACCAGCTGTACATACGGAAATGGAAAAACAACTAAATGAAATTAGCCATTAGCCATCTATTTTATGCCTTCAAAATAATCAGTAGTGATAAATAATTACCATTAAAAAATAATTTATAAAGATCAAAGGACTTGTTTAAGTGAGGAAAAAATTTGACAATTTTTTGTTAGTACTGACAAAGCTATGACGTTCGGTTTTTTTTTGTAAGATGTATATGTTAAACACTGAACACAACTGTGTCCTAGTGATACTTTTGAAATTTTTTCATTGATTTAAAAATCGTTTTGTTATTGAAAATTTAATGATAATAATTAGAAATATCGCATTTCTTAGAGAAACAAAATGTAATTTTTATCACAGTTCGTTGGTAATTTTCAGTAATGTCGATTTTTGTTTTCTACACTTAAATTTATTAATGCTGCTGAAAATTGACGGCTTATAAGTAAATTTGAAATTTTCAGATTTGTGTTACAACCCTGACAATAGAGATCATAGAAGTTATTGTCCTGATACAAAATTTTGTAATCTAGAATTCAATAAAAGTTTCGAGATCGTATAAGCACAGCAAAGTAACTTTTCTATTATATTCCTCCTTTTTTTGCCGGTCCTTCTCAACGTCAACGTCATCAATCATCAATTTTCCAAAAGCGCAATATTGTACAATATGGTACCAAATACATATAAAGTTCTTCAAATATGAAACAAATGAAAAAGTTCATAAATTTTTACGTCAGAATGAATATTCGTCCGTCTGTAAATTCCAGACAAGATGTATGGAATTAAAAAGACATTTTATTTACAAGTTGTAGGCACAAAATATATTTATCAAGTTCATGACGTAGCTATTTATTTAAGAGGCGAAATAATCGCTATCCACACAGTTACAGCTCAGACAAATGAAACATCCGAAATTCATAATTAACAAAGATTTTTTTCCTTTGCCAGCTCGCCTTCAAATTGCTCGTTTAAATGGAATGGATTAAAGCGAAACGTGGAAACGCTGGCTTTAAAAAGCGTATCTTCTAAAACCATGTATCAGATTAAACTTTAAACTGTTTAAACAATACATGTAGAATTATCATTTAGTATAATTTGTTGATTTTTGTGAAATTGAATTTTTCGTTTATTACGAAACTAAACACGCTTTACTTTTGTTCTAATTCGTGTACAGGAAACACAGTGATTTACTTTATGGCATTCTCGGAACGTTGTACGGACATAAATTCCTTTAAATAAACCATATTTAAAATTTTTCGTTACAGACATATTTAATTTTTCATTCTTTGACATTATTGATTTGTAATTTTTAAAGAACCTGTATCGGGAACATATTAATAGGGGATGGGAGCGTGTAACACATTACCCTACTTTACTAAAATGTTGTGGATTCTGAATCATATTTTATGACTTATACAGGATAGTAAGTATATTAAAAGCTCCGATAACGCAATACAACACGCAAAGTTTTCGCTCTTCTGCTTGGTACGCTTGGCGCGAAAACTTCTGCAAAGCTATTTTGATCAATTAAACATTCGTGTTAATATGCATTTTGCACCCACAGTGATGACATTAAAAGCGTGGTAAAAAGTTGAATGAGAACAGATGCGGCTAATAAAATAATGTAGGCAATAAATTTTCTTACTTTAGTGAGAGGCTTTTAAACATTGTTATACACGGGTTTCAACAATGTCTTTTTTAATAAATTTTCGGCTGTTTTGGCATCTGCGTAAGAATAAAGACTTTAATAAACTCGTTACCGATTTATTGTTTATGTTATCATCTACTTGAAAGAAAACTATCAAGATGCGTAGTAGTTTTTAAAATATGAAAGTTTTTGAGTATGAAAATTTAGACATCAGACAGACAAACGGAAGTCTGGACGTGCATTTTTCTATTCCACGAACTATGAAACTTCAAAATTAAAGTTAGATATGCGTCAAAATGATCCTTTTAATTTTAGCTATCTGGAATATAATATAATGCCGGAAGTTTTAAATAAACTGTCGGTTATACATCTTCATTTTCCTTCAGGGGACAATTTCGGCTATAAAGTTCCACACAGCAACGGAAAACGAAATTCATTCATTCCGACATTTGCGTATGACATTTACATAAATTATTTTGTGCATATAATCCAGTTGTTTTGAGTTTATAACGCATATTCAACACGTTAATTAAAAGACAAAAATTTCGTTTTGCTCCAGTTATTATTATTATCAAAGCAAAATTGATTATTGCCTGTAACTGAGTCTATTACTCGTTGGGAATAAATTTATTATTACTATTATTAATATTATTATCATCATCAAAATTTTATCACGTACGATGCGATACTTCCTATGAGAATGGCAAATAAGGGTACCTTATATACATTTTTCAATTCAAGAAGCTTTTTTCGTATTCACTATTTACGTAATATTCCTCCATAGTACTGCTATTGATTTAAAGTTTCCTCAGGGACACTTTTTTAGTCGCCTAGTCTCCCTTAACACACTACATTTTTTTACGCCTTGCTCATATTTTCGTAATTTTGTCACCTACGCTCTTCGTAAATTGATTCATACATGATGCATGTGATTACATCGCCACTTGTTTGGGTTATAAACTCAAGCCGTTTGTTCTAACTGAATAAATTTTATTAGGGAGAAAGCAGGGTTTTGAGATATTTACCTCGGTTAGCGTTCGTATATTACGTTCTTGAAATTAGATTTTTGTTGTGTTTTTCAAACCACCATATTGTACGGTTCTTAATGACTACATTTCGGTCCGAATGCTCACTTTGCTTTGGCAAACACGGAATATTTTTCAGAAACGGAAGCCAGTAATAATATATCTTCCTGTTTCCCGAGAAATTCTGGCATTTTGTACTTAAATCTAGAACTAACTTCGATGAAAATCGATTTAGTCCCAGGGGAATTAGGATGTTTCGAAGTTCTTTCTACAAGCTGACGGACCATTTTAAGCAAACACCTTTAACCACGGTTTAAATTAGGTAATTTGGAAATAAATATATACATTTGGTTATTGGCATTGTACGAATGGTTATAAATTAAAAATGGATAAGCTATGAATGATTTATGTTGTGCCGGGGAAAATTTATCGGACGTGATCCTTGATGTGTGGCAATTTGTGAATGCAAATATACGTTGATTGATTGTTTTTCTAGACAGAGCTAGACATTGTTAAGGAGAACGAATAGTAATATGTTGTAAATTTGCAGTAAGTAGATGAGGAGAGTTTTATGTGACTTGAATAGTAGTCGTTAAATTTAAGTACTGCAAGCAATAATTCCTTACGTGATGTTAGGCATCAGTGTACGAATATTTATAAACAAATTGTTCCCCGGCGCATCCACCAAAAATTTTGCTGTAGTTATTTTCACTTTAAATAATTTTGTAGACATGATTTACTGACGATAGTAGACATAAATCATTATTTTGTCGGAACCTTTTGCTTTGTCGTCAATTAAAAAAAGGTTTCTTTTTGTGGAGACCCTAACATAAAGAAGTTACATTTTTGTCAATCGTACGAAACCTCACACTCATTCGTATCATTTGTCTTTCCGAGGGCTATTTATATAAATAACTATTATGTTCTATTAACTTCTCCTCTGTTCAACGTTATCATGTCCGCTTTCCCAATGTATTTGTTTTTATCCGTCTTGGAACAGACTCCTGTTTGTAAAGTCTGGAGAGCTGTTTCAGTTCTTTTTATTTTCCCTTCTTTGCTATTTTTGCACTTGTGTTTTAATTAACTGGCTCCTCGGAGTCTCAGTTAGCAGACCTAATTTTTATGTAAAAATAGCTTTAACGCGTAACTTTTTTTTGCAAACACAAAGACAACACATAAAGCGAGAACGTGTTTTAAAAGTGTAAACTTATTTATTGACTGAGTAAGTGCTCTAATGGCGATGCGTTTTAATCAGCTGAAAGCGCAATTTATAAAGACTTTTGTGCCATAAAACACCTTAATGATCATTTAAATCATGCGGATATTTTCCTGAGATTGTAATGAACCAAGTGCATTAGCTTATCTCATCGTCATAGCGGCAGCAAATTTCTTATAAAATGTTGTTTTACAGGATACGGGAATATCGTACCTGAAACGACAGAAGGGCGAGCCTTCTGCATAGTATTCGCTCTTGTGGGAATTCCTCTTACGCTCACCGTTATCGCAGACTGGGGCAGACTGTTCGCATCAACAGTGTCAACACTCGTGAAGCATACACCACCACTGCCAAAAAAATTCAGGTAGAAGAGTTAGCTAATATATCAGTCACACAAGAAACAGTTGGACCAACTTTGACCACGGGGTGCAATAAATCTTGTTTTGGTGCTCACCGGAAGGAAAATTTTTTGCCTTTGTAGTGGTCGCTACATTTGCCGAAAACTACACTTAAATATTTTTTCTTGAATTCCACATAAATAATGTACATAAATTAAAGATGATGCTGCAAACTATCATTCAATTTTTATAAGCTGAATTTTTAAAACGACATTACAACAAAATGTGTGTAGAATATCATTTTGTCGTTAATCAAAAAGCGATTTTAACACTGAAAATGTTTAAGATTTATCGCGCTATAAGTTTAAAGATGAAAGAACCGTAATTATCGGAGATCCTATTGGTAGTCGACAGTAAGTTTTATGGGAGTGTCCTCCTACTGTGTCTTTTGTGAACACTGATATATTGCAGTCCGCACTTCGGTTTCCATATATTTATTTAATAATAATTTTTATTTTCGTCTACATGTAACGAATCAGACTTAATATTAAGCTCAAATAAAAACAACCTTCTATGTTAAAATGCAAAACGTTAAATATTGTTCAAGAGCTGCACTTTCAGGCTGAAGGTAAAAGCTTTTCAGATGTACATTATGAAAGTCTTTATTTTATTAATAGAAAAAAGGAATTACTGTTAGACCTGCTTTTAAGATTTGAGATAGTAATTTTGTTTCGCGAATATGGAATCACGTTCTTTTTTTTAACTGTAATGTTGATATTAAAATACTTTGTTTACTTTTCCAAGCTGACATTTCACTGATTCAAAAACATAAGTGATTTTTATACTTTAGCAACATTTCAAAATATTTAGTCCGCAAACGTTGAGTGACATAGTTAAATAAACTCTAAACTTAAATAAAATATGAAGTATTACCTGGTCCCCTACAAGTTTTAAGTTGTAACTTCTTAATTAATTAGAGCAAAAAATAAGTTTCACTTTAAGCAACATAAACAATGTTTAGTTTTAAATTGTGAAATAATCAAGTGATGTTGCCATAGAATTCATGGAATCACCTAAACTTTTAGTGAAATTCTAAAAAAGTTTTGGGGATTCGATGTTCAGAACAGCATTAAAAAAAATCATTCCATTTTTGTTCCATGTACTTAAAAATTCATAGGTCATCTGTCATAGTATGAACGCTCTATATGTCAACTAATAAAATTTTACAACGTAAAAGTTAAAAAGTTTACGGCGAAACAAAGCCAGTTTTCTTAGAAACTTGTATTTACAAAATTATAAAAAAAATATGACAGTGCTGACGAACAAATATTTTCCTGAATACAACCCTGAATTTTGAGCAGATTTCAAGGTATGAAGCGTCGTCTATGATGGATTGACTAAGCTCTCTACCGTGAAGGTTGTTCGACCACTGTTGGCTTAAATGACTCTAATAGGGCCATAAAATTTTATTAGTACACAAAAATGGTGTTTTTACAGTGCATAAATTGTATATCCTTGCCAAATGTTAATATTAATCTCAAAACAAGTTGGCAGTATGCTGTGGCACTCGCAGTCACGAATAGCCAATAAAATTTTAAGTGTCACCAACTCTAAACCACATTTTTTCGATTACACGATGATTTAGGAATATATTTCATTAATGAAAAATCGTAATATGTTAAAAATTATTAATATGCTTTTGAATAGAGGTTTTTTATTTGTGTGAGACGTTATTAAATTTGAAGATTTAAATTTTGTGTGTTATGTTCTGCAACACCATACAAATAGTAAAAATAGTTCATCATAGTTAAGGTCGGTTTATACATATAAACTTGCCGCTGACGTTATTGTTCGAGGTTGCCGTTGCCGTTGTAAGATAAATACGCAGCGAAGGTATGCGTTCGAGATGACCAACTTTTAACTTTCGCCGGTACGTTGCCGTTGACTTTGGGTTTTCAACAAATCAAATTGCAATAATGTGCAGTGCTGGCAACTTGAAGGAAATCCCCTGAAGTAGGGGGGACATTTTTCTGGTTGACAGGTCCACTAATATTAAGTCAATTAATCACCTGTTCACCGAAACCCTTGTATTTTAAATAGCTGCCATCATTTTCTGCAATGTAGCTTTCTGTCAGTACTGATCCATTGTTAAAGATACTTCTCGACGTTTAAATCGACTATTCGTCTCAAAAACAGATTACGTAATATAACCGCTGGGGCTTACATTTTGCCCTTTTTTCTTAATATGTGTAGTCTTATTTTCACAACAAGAAAGGTAAAACATGTTTACAATGGTAAATTTTTGTAGGAAAGTATCGATTTTGCAACTAGGCTCCGCCCCTCGCGCTGACAACGAATGAAAAATTCATCACGATTGAGATCAAGACGGATGGGTGGGGCTTCTTTTTTGGTTTTCTTTTTTAATTGATACATTTAGTTTTCTTTATATAATAACCTGATTACTTAAGAACATATATCACATGGTAATTTGTCGTAGAAAAATAAGGATTTTACAATTAAGCTCCGCCCCTCGTTTTACGACGAATAAAAAAATCATCAGAATTGAAATGGGGTGGGTGGGTGGGGCTTACATGTTGCTTTTTTTTCGTAATATACATAGCCATCTTTTCACAACAAGATACTTAAAACATTGTTAAAATGGTACATTTTTGCAAGGAAATATGGATTTTGCAATTGTGGGGTGGAGCTCAATTGCAAAATCGATATTTTCTTATACAAATTTTCCATTTTAAACATATTTGTTGTGAAAAGAAGTCTACACATTTTAAAATAAAAAAGCAAAACGTAAGCCCGCCCACCCGCCCTATCTCAATTGTGATGATTTTTCGCCTTGAAGCAAGGGGGCGGAACTTAACTGCAAAATACTTACTTCTTAACAAGAAATTAAAAACATGTTTTTAAGTATCGTGTTGTTCAAACAATACTATGTACAATCGGCGGACATGTAAAACTGGTACAAAGAAAATTTTCCTAATGTGTATCAAGCTTGATTCCCGGGACCGTTACCGGCCAAATATACGTTAAAAAAAGACAGATTTACACAAGATACATTTTTCATTTTCCTTATAATTTTTATGACAGTTCGTAGCAGTTTTATAGGTCGACAGATTGTACGTTAAAAAAAAGACAAAATATGAACCCCGCCCACCCACTCCATCTCAATTGTGATATTTTTTTACGAATGACAACTTCATTAATGTTTACATCAGGGCAGGTATGGGTAGGACTCAATTTTTGGCTTTAATTTTTTCTTAATATACTTAGTATTTTTTAAATAAGACGATCCTTAAAAACATGTCTTACATGGTAATTTCTTGTAGAGAAATAAGAATTTTGCAATTAAATTCCGCTCCAATTGAGATAGGGCGGGTGGGTGGGGTTTATATTTTCCCTTTTCTCTTAATATACGTAGTCGTCCTTCGGGTCAAGAAACTTAAAATATGCGGGTATGGGTGGGGCTTTATTTTTCTTAATATACATAATATTCTTTGAACAACACGATACTCAAAAACATGTTTTTAATTTCTCGTAGAGAAATAAGGATTTTGCAGTTAAACTCCGCCCGCTTGGCTGACGATGAATAAAAAAAATCATCACAATTGAGATAGGGTGGATGGGCGGGGCTTCATTTTGCCTTTTTTTCTTAATATGTTTGGACTTATTTCGAAAACAAGAAACTTAAAACATGTCTAAAATGGTAAATTTTTGTAGTAAACAACTTCAATCCGCCACTTTTCTCTACAAACCCTTTAAATACAGCAAAAGTTGAACATCAAAGTTACTATCAATGGCAACTTGGCAACGAAGTTTATAAAAGATAATTTTGCTTTTAAGCAACGTCAGCGGGAACAGCAACTGCAACGGGATTTTCAACGTCAACGGCAAGTTTATAAATTCCACTTTGGAGTAATTATAGCTATGAATGGAAGTAGAATATTTATTATAGATATATTATGTTCGATAATAATTTAACCTTACATAACAAAGGACAGCACTGTCATGTAACATCATGTAAGTGAAATGTTATCTTTTTGTGTCGTCATTTAAAACTTATTTATAGAATGGGTTTTTAATTACCCCGAAAACATTAATTGAAATGGTGTTTACATTTATTTGCAATAATAAAAATGAATAATGATTCTAATTATATTTATTCCATCTTTTCTATAAACGTTAAATTTTTACTAAAAACGATTTTCAAAATATTTGTAGTAGTTTTTTCAACTGAAATGGAGCAAATCAAAACATCAAAAAAAAATTTTGATGATCATGAATCCAAACATTTCAAAAAAAAAAATAGGATTATCCTTAAAATATTTCGCAAATCCACTTTAAAAATTATACTTCAACTAGTGATTGTATTTATTTGTCTTTTTTTGCTTCCCGAGCGTAAGCTAAGAAACGTCAGGGTCCGGATAGTATTGTATTGTGCTGCAATCTATAACTTTTCGGGACGGGGATAAGTGCGCCTCTCGGCAGTGTTCTCGTCACAGGTGGTACGGAATTGCGACTCTCTGCGTGATCCGCTCGAGGTAGAGAACGTAATCGCGGCAATGAAAATAAGTGCTATTCGTAAGCCCTTTTAATCCTCTCCGGAATTGCGGCCCTCTGTGTGATCTGCTCGTCATTGAGAGCATTGCGTCACTCGGCCAAGATAAAGTCATTAATTTTTTGGAAGAAAAGCATAAATAAATTTTAGCAGTTTTGTAATTCTTAAATCGGTTAATCTTATCAAAGTGAGGAAGAAAGTTTTTATGTTATGTCGTATTATAACATGGACTGTAAAATTTTGTATTTGGACGTGTATATGTAATCTTAAAAAATGAAAACACATCAACACACTATAAGTTAAGAAGCATATTGTGCTGCATATTTAAAGATAAACTTATTTTAAAATAGTTTGGAATGACGTTATCTAAGTATTTGTATTATTGTTATTGAAAAGTGAGTGGATGGAGATAAATAGTTAATTTTTAATTGGAGTTTAGCGGTCTAAACAACAATCTTCAGGTCGTTCACGACAGCTCATGTAGAAAAAAAATAAGATTCCAAAAATTTTATTTAAAATTTACTCATTCCTCTTTTCCAAAAAGTCGTTTCCAAATATCATTGACTAAGTTCTTGGTTTACATACATATACAGATTCTCTAAAAGAAACTATTAATTAATCTTAACACGTCTTTATGAAAAGTAGGCCCTGACATGCACGAGGTGTTGGATGTAAATCAATATGTCTTTACCTAGTATGATTTTTAACAATAACTATTTGTTTCAGAAATGCGATGGTTGCTCGAAGAACCTCCTCCTACGCCCTGTCAGCTGTTTGTTTCCTTTTTGTTTACCTTGCAGCGGGGGCAGGACTCTTCGTCATTTGGGAAGACGATTGGACCTTTTTCGAGGGATTTTATTTCTGTTTCATAACGATGACTACCATCGGCTTCGGAGATTTAGTCCCAAGTAAGAATAACTATGCATTAATGAATTCCCGTGGCGTAAAAGCAATAATGACGTACCACATACTGCGTCGATGGTGAAAGGAAAAGTTAAAAGTACCGTAAACAATACTTTCCACTTCATTAAATCGTTACATGGTAATAACAATAGCGCCCTAACACGTTGTCATCATCACTCTGCCAAATTTCCTACATCCAATTTGGTGCCAAGGACATAATGGGACGTAAAATCCGGAAAGGTCATAAAATAAAGCATTTGTGTAACGAAATATGACATTTAAGTTAGGAAGCTCAGACGCGATTTCTGTAAGGATATGCAATTTAAAGAAAGATCAAATTTAGATGAATATTTGTCTTGCCAAAGTTTTTACGAAGTTTCTCTTTAAATAAGATACAAAGTGACTACACTGTACACTTTATTAGATTTTCTGGGAGAGTTCGTAGGGCAAAAAACTCTTGTTGTGGCTTTACAAATTTCATTTAGAGCGGGCTGTTTAATAAACTCCACTGGAGTTTTATCATTCGCTAAACCAGTTAACTGACGTCTCGTTATGAAGTATTTTTAATCCGTTCTAAATTCGTTAAGCGGAAAATGAAGACCATATTCACGTGTCAGATTCGCTCAAAAATTTATTATTTATCTGGAGAAGTAGACGTCCCGGGAGATCGATACAATTTGCGGTGCTTGTTTGCTTAATCTGTAATTTGCTAGGTTAGCGTCTGATGAGCTTTCACAAATTTATTGTTCTGGGGTGTACGGACATTGCTCAAATCGAGGACAAGCAAATTTTATGAGGTCTCCAAAGAATTGGAGTTGTAAACTATCTGAAACTTTGTAATGAGAATCGAGCATATTTCGAACGCGTTAATGGTGTCATATTTTGTTTCATAATTCTGGCCAAGTCTGATGGCCTATATTTTATGCGTTTACGAAAAGGCGCCAATATTCTTTCCCTCCATTTCACGGGTCGCAAAGTGCATCAAATGACAGTGACCGAGACGTCGATATATTGAAGGTTATTCACAGCAGGTGTGCCGGTCATAACTCCTCAGCGTTAGTTTACGTACAATAACATTTTTCTGACTGAAAAGATATACAAACCAAAACTCATAAAAAATTTAAACCATAATTAAAGAAAAAGTATCTAAAAATTTATTTATTGGAAAGGTAATGTAAAATTGCTGTCTTAAAATCTCAAAATTTGATGTGTCCGCGACGGATCAGTGGACACGTACCTTTACTGAAACCCTATACTCTACCGGAGAAAAAAATTTCAAACGGCTTCAAATCATTGATACTGACATTAAAGGGTACCTAACTTTGGCTTCATGAACAAATAGCCTTATTTCTTACTGTAGATATGTCTACAAACTGTGCAAAGCGCGTGATTTTTAGCTTTGTTTGTGTATTCCTAAACCTCAAATTCTCAACAAAGTTTTTATTGTGCTTGTGTTGAGACACAATACCTATGAATGTTTTGTGTATAGAAAATGTATATTTAGTGGTTATTCAGTTACTATTTCTGCCCATGTTTACGTCATAACGGAACTATATTACATTAATAAAGCCACTTTATATCTGCACAATTTCATTATGACTCCTGTAAATACCACTATCCCAGCTTTGATACCTCGTTTTCGGATTTACGATTCCTACGAAAAAGGATACGTAATTGGTATCGGATTTCTCTCGGGTTCAATTGTTGTCGCTTGATTTGCAAACAGATCGAGATTTGCTTCGTCACGTAGTGCTGTCCCATCAACGCAGAAAAAATAATTTTCGTAATCTCGTCTAGTCCCACCAGATGAGGCGACATCAAATGCAACACAAACATCGAAGTCCTTGCCATTGTGTCTCCTATAAAACTCCTATTTTTCTAGAGAAACCGACTTATATGCTGCTCTGCACGTTGTACATTCTGGTGGGTTTGGCTTTAACGTCTACTATAATAGAATTAGTGAGACGACAATATGCCCAGTCATGGCGACAGCTGCAAGCACTCCGAGGACCTCTTGCTGAAAATTTGAGGAGGTTGGCCGACAACGCGCCGGGATTAGACGTGATGGCATTTCAACAGGACCTCATGAAAGTTTTAACTGTGGTAAGGTGACGGTATTGTTATTTATTGACTACCCGAAACTGAAGGTTCTTTTATTTTACTCAAGAATGCTCTGCAAGTGTTTCTGTATTTTTAAAAGGGACTACACCAGGTGCTCATACAAAATTTACACTTATTTCTATACTATTAAAAAACAATATGCAATTCATCTTTAAATGGATACTTTTTTTATTCATTCAATCGAATACAAAGTGCGAATATGATTTTTATTTTCCGCTGACGTACAGTGTGGTCGAAAACTTTTTGAGTTGTAGTAACCCCTAACACCATCGCTGATTCAAGCTTGGTTGCTTAGCAGATTAAGACGGATTTCCCTTTTGATGAGAATGTTTTGTTTATCAGCTGATCGTACGTGGATTTTCGGCGTGGTCAGCGAATGGGTAGAACGTTGTAACTTTAATGTTTATTGTGGAGTGTAGCGAACTTCTGAATGACCGTCGGTTGTAAAAGTAAGGCTGTTGCAAGACCAGAATTGTTGAAATGTTATCGGAGGAAACAACCAGAGTGGAAAAATTAAGTCCCTAAATAACAAAGGGAGCAGCTGTGGACTTAGAACCAGGGTCGATTTAAATGAGGTAAAATTGATGCAAGAAATCCCTGAATTTGTTGAAAACCTTTCTAGGAATTATAGCACAGTATAGCCACTTTGCATTTACAGCTTCGTCCAGTCGTAAGTTAGGGCAGCAGAAACGGAATTCAGCGGAAAAAGATCGCCGTGGAAAAATTAAAGGTTTACGATGGTGAAGGTAGCAGCTGTTGTTCAAAGTACTTGTAGGGTAGGGTTACAAAAGAAAGTCATTTCACGGCAGTTATGTGAGATGAGAAACATTTGGATTGAAGTTATTCTCTAAATGGTGCTTACAATAAAGTGGACAAATGTTGTATAAAAGGGATTCAAAGATAAAAAAAATCTCTAAAATTAATGCCTTTATTTCGGTTAAAGTTAAAGTCTCCTGAATTTTGGCGATAGCAAGTAGAAATAGATTATTATAGTCACAAGGAAGAAAGGAAGCAGAATTAAATTATGCCAGAGTCTGTCAACAATTTTAAGCTTCAAAGAATTTACATGACGTTAAATCACGCGTTAATTCAGGTTATCGATTATTTAAATTGCATTCGCAGATTACCTTGTCGACCGAAACCCGATAGATATTACATACAAAAGAAAAAACACACGTTCAGTACGATCAAAATCACAATAAACTTGTCTCGGAAACGCTGCGCTCTAGAGCGGCGCCTGAGAATAAATGTTCGAATTCAAGCCGCAAAAATACTGCAAGAGAATAATTAGATCTGAAACAAACTATTAAGAAACTGTAAGAAAGCGCTTCCATTTTTCGAATCCACGAGGATATGAATTTTTAAGGTTCTTTGTTTCAAAATGGATCAACGTTTGAGATCAGTTTAAATGTCTGTGGCCGCCTGGAAGTATGCAACCAGTTATACATACATAATGCAGCCACCGGATTGGCAGTTACAACGCGCAAGCCCAAAGAGGAAACGCCACGGTGGAAACGTAAAACAGACTCTCTTCTTCTCCGACTACTCCCCGTGGGCAGACGTCCTCTTCTTCTCCGACCACTCACCGTGTGCAGACGTCCTCTTCTCTTCAAGACCTCCACGTGGACATACACATACAACCTTGGGCCGTGTTATCATTTTTTGTAGTTGGTATTGTAAATAAACCTGTACTAAAACCGTTTCCGTTAGTAATTCGACGACAACAATTACATGTCATAAACGAACTGTTAGCAACCTCGAGTGAGAAGTTAAGGAGTGTGTTATAGTATAAGTAATCCTTAAGTAAAAGCGTCCAGAAATTTTTAGTTATGACTTGATAAAGAAAAGAGTGAACTCTGAATTAGTGAATTTCTTAACACGTGGTTTTTGTGAACAATTTCACTACTGTTAAATTGTGTTAGAACCAGTAACATGAACTGCGAGTTTACAAAAATCAATTCGGGGACCGTATTATGTTCAAAATGGGTTCCTCAAACACTTTTGATTGAAATAAAGCAGATAATAGGTTTTCATTCTGTCAAGAGGTCTAAAGGTTTCATATCGAGCATTTATTAAGATAACTTACAAATTCCCCCTCAAGTTGAAAAGTCAAAGATTTAATATAGATATAGGTAAAAATGTTAAATGACATGATCTGATAGTTTAAAAAAATCATCGATACATTGTTTAGTTCTTGACAAAATTGGTTTATTAACTAGACCTTATTGTTTTCAAAGTGGGTTTCTCCAATACTTCGTATTCAAATAAAGCAGATAACAAGTTGTTCTCCTGTTATGAGGCCCAAGGGGTTCATATAGAGCAACTATTAAGATAACATTTTTTTAAGTACATATTCAATAAAATGTTTTTTCCCATGATTTTTTAAATTTGGTGTCATGTGTAAATGCGATTCAAAGGTTTTTCTCTGTACTTACGTGAGTTTGGGAATTTATAGGTCACAGATATCACTATAACGCCAATTACTGAGTTTAACGCCACATTGTTTAATTAATTAAAGAAGTATGGTGAAACTTAGTGTATAATATCGATACTATTGTTTTTATGAAAACTGGTTTCTACGTCTATCACTTTTGTTAACATTTGTTCAGCTGTTAAAAAATATTGTCATTATTATAATGATTAACAATTTACATATAAACAAAAGTGTTAGGTTTACCGATCGAGTATTTTTAAAAGCCATGATACAAAGATCGGCACAACTGTTTTTAGAACACTTAAAAATCAAATTAAAAAAATATTTGTAAAACATTACATTTAAGTCAGCAACACGATAATTATTATGAGCACAAAGAGATTTCTGTAAGCGTTGTAAATAATGGTGGTTGACCTTTACATTTAGTCGGTTTGCCAAAGGATCGAAGTCTTTGTATACCTGGTGGTTCGATTGAACTCAAAGATGTATTTCAGGACTATACATGTATTGTAAAACTTATTTAGTTACAATGTATGAAGTATGATTTCAGCGACAATTAAATTTAAAAAAATTGCTTTTAACTATCCATGTTTCCTGCGAAGTATACCTTAGCGATAAGGCTGTATGAATCACGGTTTCAACTGTGTCACACTTCTACACAACCACGTAGTTTTATATTATGTGGGATCACATTGTTTCAAACTGTTATTAGATTGCCTACAGGTGCTTATTTCAACAACTAATTCTGGATCTTATTTTTCCACTTTGAGTTTCAACCTAATCGCATTATTGCTATTCCACTGAGTCACTTGACTCGTGTTAAGAAAGTTCTGGAAAGTTCTGAGTTAGTAAACATTAAATTTGTAAATTCTAACCTTTTTTTATATTCTCAAAACGCTCTACTATAATCATAACTTGTTTATTACAGACGTCTGGCGCTTTGTTTTGCCTGATTTCTGTGTACATCACCTTTAATAAAAAGCTTCCATCTAGACCGGTATATATTGCTTCAATTTATCTCACATAATTCAGCTCTTTTGAATGTTTTGAGCCGCAATTGCGGTCGTTTGTACAAAACTGAAACATGAAACAAATTTAAACAGATTTTTGTCGACATTGTAAATGTTAAACAGCTATTCATGTATTCTTCTTTTGGTTTTGCCTCATTTAAACTGCCTTTGCTTTTACGTGCTTGCACTCACAACTGCGAATTGTTTCCTTCGACAGCATTCCTGTAATTTCATTTTTGCATCAACGTTCTACGTGTAAACTTTCAGTCGGACAAAAGGTAAGTTCGTTAAACTTCACAGTAATAAATTAATATTAAAACTTTATCCCCCTGTTTGATCAATTCCGCATAAAAAAACGATCAGCTGATAACAAAACAAAACAAAGCTGCTCCCACATGTTTTTAAACCAGTGATGCCAACTATATCCATACGTAGTGTATGTTATGGCTCGCTGAAAATCAAAAATGTTTCCACTGCACGGTATTCATTTTTAAGTAAGTTCGGGGTAAGCGTTTATGAAAGTCTTCAAGTTCCTACAGCTAGTTTGAAATTCAAATTTAGGTAAGGTAATTAGGTAAAAAAGTTTTCTCTTAATGCAAAAGTTTCGTGTTGTCTTAGTGTTTTGGTGAATACTTTTGCTTAAAGTTTTAGTTTAAAATTTTCTGTGATGAATTTTTAGTGCACAATTTTTTTCTTTTTTGGTTAACTATTTATATTTTAAAGTATGTACTGTAAGAATGTTATAACAAAATAATCAGTAAAATGCCCTTCGTAGATGCTAAACTGTTGGTAATTTCCGCAGTTGTAGGTAAATAAAACAAACTATTACCTGCCTACGCTCGTTCTCTCAAACTTTCTTAAAATAGATATTTAAAATACCCCAACTGAATTTAAGCTACTATTGAATTAAACTTGCAGATGAAAATATTTAAAGAGTATTAGAATTTGTTTTTGTAATCATTTCTTTCCTGTTTGTTTAGGTAACTATGCCCCGCAGATCTGCATTTTCAAAAAAGGAGAAGAAACTCAAACAGAAAGAATGGGAAGACGCCATCGAGGCTGTGATAAGAGATATCACTGTGGGTACAGCAGCCGCCGAACAGAAGCCTCCGATGGTCCAAATAGTCATTTACGAGAGTTCCGTTTGAAAGGTCAACAATTTTATCTCCAGTGTCAAGCTATACCGAAACTTAGGTCACTTGCATAACACGATCGGTATCGGAATTCCTATAAAAAATGTAACAAAAGTCATATCATTCTTTAGGTCGACTAAGGAGTCGACGATTATGATTATTTTCTTCTGCACCTAGGTAATAATATTTACTTATCTCAAGATTTACAAAGTTTCTACTTTATAACATAATAAAATGACAATTTAATCAAAATATTTTGTAATTTTTTATCACGATTTATAAATTGTAACACCTCATGCATATAGATTATTATGCTTTTCATTGATCTGTAAAATATTGTAAAGTTATATAAAAAGTATTATATAAGATATAAAACGTTTTTTAGACTTTTACGAAATAACATCCTCTAAAGCAGTTCCATTGTTTTATTCTATTACACCTACAGTAGAGAGTGATAAATGAAGCATTCTCATAGTCCTTACTATACTCCCAGAAAATGTGCCATCAGCACCTAATAATTCTCCAGGGTTGGTGGATAAGAGCAAATTTGTGTCATTATTTTAATTCCAGAGAAATTTAATTTTAGCAACTTTAATAAAGTTTTCCTTCAAGACTTAAGAGTCATGTTAGTGTCATAGCTATTACTACCTAACTCTACCGAACATTGCTCTTTACACTCAAAACCCAGGCCATAGTTCACGCAATTGTGCAACCTCAGAAATAACAATCAGTTATCGAGATGAGTCATTGATGTAGTAAATTCCGTATTTACTCCAGACATTTTCACGACTTAATTTTTATAGACCATGTATTTGGAAAATTTTGTTTCAATTTTTGGCGGTATTTTGCATTTTTCTTGAATAGTGTCGGTCATAATTCGGAAAAATCTAAACAATTACGAAAAACCACGCAACATTTTGTGGAACCGGTATCACAATGGACTTTGACCGGCTTTGGCGTTACTACTGTACTTATGTGGGGTATCATGTGATTCATAATAGACACGTTCAGTACAAGGGACCCCCACTCTTTATCTATATATACTATACCACAACCAGACGACCTTAACTCAGCTCCCAACTGTACGTTGCATCAGAGGGAAGTGTTTGTTTTGTTTAGTGCCTCTAGAACATTCTACCGGTGTGAAATTTCACGTAAGTGTGTTTATTTTATGTTAATATGACAGTAAAGTGTTACAATAAAGGCAAATTACAATTTTTAGTGAAATAGTGCTTCTCTTAAAAGATCAATTCTATTTTTTAATTTTTATTTCACGAAACAAGAAATTCTGTTTGATATTTGCACATATTTGGATTATACACTTGGTGCATAGAGTTTTTATCTATTAACAATTAGTCGATTTATTTGGTGCTAAGTAAGTTTACACACTTTACAAAATCTAATAGCAATTAATGAAAACTAAAAATATTAAAATTCTTCTAAAATCATTTGACCTTTGTGATAATAAAAACATATGTACTAAGTACTGCAGTCATTGGTTAGAGGTTTTATTAATGAACACACTAATTCGACTTAGAAAATCTAAAGAATTAATGGAAACTAAAAGATAAAAATATGTAGGTACTTCTAAAATTCATTTGACCTTTGTGATAATAAAAACACGGCTGTGATAATAAAAACTTTTACGCTGTATTCTTATCTAGTTTTTACGGTGATTATCAGATCAACGTTCCCTTTCCGGCACCAATTTAGTTCGTTAGTCTGTCTCGACTACTTGTAGTTCTCGTGATTGTTATATCGTTAAATCAAAACTTGCTCGAAATTTTTAATATCAAGTAAGTTAGATTATTGATACCGTTCAAATTCCTAAATTTATATTTGATTCACACTCAAGTTTTTGTAACAAACAATCAAAAAGCTATCTTAGTGATTACAGTTAACAAGCTCATTTAATTAGATCTTTTATCATTATAGAGAAAAAATGGCTGATACCCAAGTCACTTCACCCATGAATCCAACTTGCATGGAATCCGTCAACAGGATCGTCAAACTTCCAGTAGTCGAATCTTCCATCAACGCCGCGACCACCGTTTACGAAAAAGTCAAAGTAAGCCCACCAACAAACCATAAAGACGTTTCTAAACTCTACCTTTCAGGAATACAACAGCGTCACCCAGTGGACGTGCAACACCGCAGAAAGTGTCGTCAACAAAGCGGTTGAAGTAGGCAAACCCATCGCTACACCCATAGTTCAAGGCCTAGAAGGACCCATCAAGAAAGTTGACGGTGTTTTTTGTACTGGTCTGGACTACGTGGAAAACAAAGTTCCAGCAGTTAAGCTTCCTCCTGGAGAGGTAAGTTTCTTCTCATGTCATTCATCCAAAATATTTATTCATTCGTCGTCATTGCAATCATCTGACCCCAAAATGACTCTTATTCAGATTCTTTGCCAGATGTACACCACCACGAAAGACTACGTCAACAATACAGTCACCCCCGCAATTGGGGCGGCTTATGCTTACGTCGAACCCGCCGTCAAATCAGCGTACGAAAAAATTGAACCTGCTGTAGAAACAGCGAAGACAGTGGTAGAGCCTGCTGTTGAAAAGGCGAAAGTTATCGTCGAACCCGCTGTTGAAAAGGCGAAAACGCTTGTGGAACCGGCAATTGAGAAAGCGAAGTCAATTGTGGAACCTGCACTAGAGTCTCTTAAAGAATATGGCCAACAGAAATTGGCGGAATTGAACCAGTGTGCCCAAGGACATCCGGAAGGGGATATGGAGTGTGAAGAATGCCAGGCTGCTGCGAGAAACATGGAGGAACACTAAATTATCATAATGTATAGTTATTTATGTTAGTTTTGTACTGTGCTCATTTTTAAGACTGCGTTTTATACTGTATTTAAGTAATGCATGGCTTTTATGGTCTCAAAACTTTGGTAACTACTTTTGAAATTTGTATTTTACTGATGTAAAAAAACAATGGTTTGAGATTACGAATTTTTGTTTTGGGGCTGTAAAAGTAGTGATAGGTAAATCTTAGTATTTTTGAATAAATATTTTTACTCATTTTAAGAGTTTTCTTTGAAATTGAAAAGGTACAACATACATTTTTGTTTTAAAAACAACTTTGTGTGTGGTTAGTATGTAGTAATGGTGGGTCTTTGGTGTTTTATTAATTGAACGAATTAATCCATAATTGACAATACTGATTGAGAGAAACAATTTTATCATTAAAGAATCGTCAATTCCGATAGTTTTGGAGATCATTTGCCTAATAAAAATCTGAACAGACGGCACACAGACTGAACCAGGAGCCAGGAGACCTAATTTTTCATACTCTATGAGTCATGAAGTGTCGAGAAAACATAAAAGTAGTCAATCGCCGTAAACTTTCTGGGAGAGAATTAGAGAGATTATCTGTCTAATAAAGATCCATGACGACAGACAAGCAGACAAACGGACAGACAGACTGACAGACAGGCGGACAGATGGACAGCTAGTATTTAGGAAGTAAAATCTCTGGTATTTAAGAGGTCAAAGCGCTGATTAAGGGGAGATTAATTACGGATTAATTAATTCGAGATTAATTACGGATTAATTCGTTCAATTAATAAAACACTAAAGACCCATTTATTTCTAAACATCATATTCATGTTATTAATTGTCAGATTTCAGAATAATATTTGTTCTGTGCATAACTAGTGTGAGATGTAACATACATTTTTAGTTGTATAGTGTGTCCCATACTTTATGAAGACAACGTACTCGTATAAACACCTGATTTTATGGGAACTGCTTTAGAACTTCTAATAACTACGAGGGCCACTAAATATATTATTTGCCTGACTATGAAACAAAAGACATACGATTTTGTGGATAATTTTATTTTTGAATATAATCACCCCTACATCAACGCACTTGCGCCATTTACTCTCCAATGAATTTATGCCCTTAAAAAAATTTATTCTTGATCGTCAAAAAATAGTAAACTGCTTCTTTTATGCAGTTTTAACAATCTGAATAAATAAAAGTCAGACGGAGCTAGATCAGAACTATAGGGGGGATGATCTACTTCGAAGAACCTGAATTCTTGCACAACGGGCCGCATTATGCACCGTTGAATTTATCGTGCAGCGAAAACGCTTCTCTATTAGCCAAATGTTTCCAAATGATTTCGTGAAATTTCCCTTCGGCACAGTTTTTATTCGGATGTCAGGAATCATGGAACCCATCGGGCAGAGACTTTACTCATGTTCAAATTGTCATGCAATATGGTTATTAATCTAGATTCGGATATTTCTAATGTCCTGCTAATTATCGAAACTTTCAGACGCCGATTCTCGAAGACCATAGCTTCAACTTTTTGAGTCATCTCTGTATCTGTTGCTGGTTTTGGTCTTCCATTTCTGAGGTCGCCTTCGATGGATTCATGTCTCCACCGAAATTATTTAGACAAAATTTTAAACCCGAAATGAAAAATCTAACTTAACTAAAAATTACGGTGTCGGGCTAGAATAAATGGCACTATTTAACGTATCTTAACAAATGGTGTCAACTGTTTTTTTCATGGATAGGTAGATAATATTTCTAGTTGCCCTCGTATATTATATGCATGTATACTGAACATTCTTTAAATCTTACGACTTGATTTGCATAATTTGGGAATGTAATCAGAATTGTAATTTAGTAAAATATCACTGAAAAAGAAATAAGATTTGGAAAATATTTGTTGTTTTTGCACAAAATACCTATTCTGTTTGAAATCTGAAAATGGAGGTACAATAAGAAATTTTTAAAAGCATCTGTCGATTCAGCTAATAAAATGTTTGAAACAATTTCGCTGAAAAACACGTACAAGTTTATAAAAAAAAAAAAAAAAATACGAAAATACTGAAGAAGTTGTAATCTAACTTTTAAAATCTACTATAGAACTGCGTGATCAAAACTTAGTTTTTTTGGATGGAACTGTGTAAAGTAGGCAGTGAGATTTCAAAAATAAAATATAGTTGTAGAGAGCAATCAAGTTATCAAAAAATCTATAAATACAACACTCTGTATAACTGAATATAATTTTATATATTACGTTACTCAGAGAACCGAGGACCATTAATCTTTGATTTTTTTCTACTTATAGTGACTCACCCTGTGTACATTATTTTCATAACACGTAATATTTGAATGGGGTCAAAGCTACAAGTCTACATAATTTGCTTTTAAAATTTTCTGAAATGCGCTCCTCGATTGTTTAAAAGATTTGCAATGAACCTTTATGAAGTACGAGAGGTCACGCATTAGAATCCAATACCTAGTTCAAGCCGCGTTTATTGCACCTTGAAAATACTCACTGTCATTGTATCTTATTAACATGAACAGCAGCTTATTAAAAAAAAAATAATAATAAACCTTAGCTGACAGTCCCAACGAATAAGTGGCATTTATTGTGCTTGAGAGACGAGGAAAATTCTGCCTAAATAATTTACCGTTTTGTTATAACTCAACATTTTACAAATTGAAAGCATGACAATTTGCAGCAATGCTTTTAACAATCAGCAAAATTTGCTGCTGTCCGATTATGTACGATGCTATGTGACGTTTTTAGATCGAGTACCTAACCCAAATAATTTTTACTTTTTACTTTCTGAGCCTAAATTAAGAAAGTATTGTAATAAGGTTGAAGTTTTCTTGACGTCTGTCGTCTGCGTCGAATCTTCGAGGCTACCATTGTTGTCAAATAATATATTTATGTATTTAGAAATATAAAACGCTAACTAATAAACTTTGTCTAATCCTCCCCACCAACAATGTGATTGCGTCACATCAAAACTGTACATAGTAAAAGAGTTTTAAATTGTAGACTTATGGTTTATGAATCCGTGTTGAGTTTTTACCCTAAACATCCAATCAAAATTGTCTAACAACAGTTCGCAATTTAGCTTTAACACTGTAAAACCGAATGCCCTAAAATCTTATTTATTCCTCCCAAAGAATTAATGACGTCATATGTAATATGACATATACATGCAATATATATGTACCTCAAAAAATTAATGAATGAGGCAATTTATTTTATTGATGAAATCAAGAACGGCTCATTTTCCAGAAAATTTGAATATACAGTACTTTCGAAGATACTGTAATTGTTCGTCTGTATTTCAAGGGCAAGAAAAGTTCTGTCTAACTAAATAACATGAGACCAATTTTTTACACAACTGTGTAGTTTGATGAATATTTTTAACTCACCTGTTTTTACATGCATATGTACGAAAAGTCGCGTATTATATTCAAAATTTTGCTAAGTATGCTATCATTAACAAACAATAGAACCTTTTATTGAACTCTGCTGTACAATGTTGTCCACAATGATTTTTTCATATTTTATACACGTAATGATGTTAAATTGGAATTATTTTTACTAAAGTGTTCGAAAGAGTCGGCATTATATTTAAAATTTAAAACTTCCTAGTTAATGTAGTGAGCTTTTTTGGAATTTAAGTCGAAATTTGAACCGTGAAATTTAAATTTTGACGTTTATAGCTAAATTGAGCAAAAATAAATATTTAGCGTAATCATAGCTCTCCTTAATCCTTTAATTAATTGTAGAGTGTTAGTTAATTACTATTTACGCGTTGTGGAAAAATCGGGATTAAAAAAACACAAGTTTCAGTATTTTTCCAGTGTCCGTGGAAACACATACAATATTTTTTTTAACTCGCACTTCCTCTGCCATATTGAGGTCTTACATATTTATTATTAGAATGACCAATTATACGAAGCAAATGTCGGCCCATTGTGTTTTATTTATGAGGAAAACTCCAATGGAAAAAATTCTTACGTCAAACACTACGGATATAAATGGTACCCGCGGAATTAAGTGTACACTTCGGTGGGACATTCACTAGTTTATAGTTAGTTCTTGATTGACAATGTCGACGACAGTGCCAACTCCAAACATCACAGCCCCTACTGGAATTACTTCAGTATCAAATGTATTTTATTTTCTGCTTATCCCGACAATTCTGCTATGGTACGCTTACTGGAGGATCTCCAAGAGACACATGTTGGAATTAGCCGCCAAATTACCGGGACCTCCGGGCTTACCCATCATCGGCAACGCTTTAGACTTGATCGGAAAGCCACACCGTATGTATTATACATTTTATATTTAATTTTCATTTGGTATAACACTACTTTAATTTTTTGATGTTTTTATACGGTGTAATATATATATATATATTTTTTGGCTAAAACGATTTTAATAATCAGATTAGTAGAAACAAAATAATTGTATACACACTTACGAAATTAGTTCTTGGAAAGCTTTGAGAGAATATGTGTATTTAGAGTAACATACTCGTATACAACGAACACATAAAAAATAATTTAAAATTAACCGGATTCAAACCGTGCATTTTTTGCTACAGTTTAGGAACAAGCTTGAAGTTATGACGTCACTAATATTTTTTTGTATTAAAAAAACAACAATTAAATACTGTGATATATAATTTTGACGCTTAAGTAAAGTCTGTATCGAAACAATTCATCAATGTTCGAAAAAATATTTAAAAATGTTTTAGTTCGCCTTAGTTGCTTACATGTCGCTGCTGTTTAAAGATACCACAGAAATGCAAAGATTCCAGTTAAATCTATTTAAAAAAGTCGTCAATTTATTATCGTTTGTAAAGCGTGTTAAAAAATTCATTTAAAAATTTAGCACTGACGTCAGAAGCTTAACACAATTAAAATATTCCACAATTGTTTCGAAAATATAATTGTTCATAAAAAGCTTGACCGGTTCTAGCGTTTTGGTCCAATTATATCATATTAAAATATTCCGGAATTATTTTTAAATGACTGTATACAAAAAGTTTGACCGCTTTGACGGTTTTTGTCAAATAATATTGCTCTTTTTTCCCTTGGATTTTCCCACGTACACAAACACATTGTGTAATTAATTTAAATATTCTGCTTGTTGAATCTTTTCTAAAAAAAAGTGCTACTTGCATAACAATTTATTTAAAGGTCATCCACATTTTCTGAAATTATAAATTTGTAGTTAGACTAGAACAAAGAGGTCACATTTTATGTCAATGTTTACGATGTAGTCGTATTATTTTAATCGTAATGCTTTATTTTTCGCAACTCTCACTTTCTTGTTTAGAGGTCTTCAACCACGTTTACCAGAAATCGTTTGAATACCAAAAAGTCGTCAGGCTATGGGCAGGGACCAAGTTGTTGGTGTTCTTAACCGACCCTCGCGACGTCGAACTGATTTTAAGCAGTTATGAACACATCGACAAATCCTCCGAGTACAGATTCTTCAAACCATGGTTGGGTGATGGTCTCTTAATCTCTAGCGGACAAAAATGGAAAGCTCACCGCAAACTAATTGCCCCAACTTTCCATTTAAATGTTCTCAAGTCGTTCATCGACTTATTCAATGCCAACAGCCGCCATACTGTTAAAAAGTTGGAAAAAGAAATTGGAAAGGAATTTGATTGTCACGATTACATGTCAGAGGCAACGGTAGAAATTCTATTAGGTAAGATTTTTTTTTCAACCAAAATAAACACCTTTAAGTGCTTTAATCAAATAGAAACCGCGATGGGAGTAAGCAAGAAAACGCAGGACCAAAGTGGCTACGACTACGCACTGGCTGTAATGAAAATGTGCGACATATTACATCTTCGTCACACGAAATTCTGGCTGAGACCTGACGTTATTTTCAACAGAACGAGTTACGCAAAATATCAGGAAAGCCTTATCAACACCATTCACAGCCTCACGCGTAAAGTCATCAAACGCAAACGGGCCGATTTTGCGAAAGGAATCCGCGGTTCGACCGCTGAAGTTCCCCTAGAACTACAAACCAAGAGTCATGATAAAGTCGAATCAAAAACTGTGGTTGAAGGGTTGTCGTATGGGCAAAGCGCCGGCTTGAAGGACGATCTTGATGTTGACGACAACGATATTGGAGAAAAGAAGAGAATGGCTTTCTTGGATTTGATGATCGAGGCTTCTCAAAATGGCGTTGTTATTAACGACGAAGAAATCAAGGAACAAGTCGACACAATTATGTTTGAAGGACATGACACGACGGCAGCTGGTAGCAGCTTTTTCTTGTCAGTGATGGGAGTTCATCAAGATATTCAAGAAAAAGTAGTACAGGAACTGTACGATATTTTTGGAGATTCAGACAGACCTGCCACTTTCGCTGATACTTTGGAGATGAAATTTTTGGAACGTTGTTTGATGGAAACTTTGCGTATGTTCCCGCCTGTGCCTGTTATTGCACGTCAGCTTAATCAAGATCTTAAATTAGGTACTACTGGAAAAAGTATGTAGTTTACAGGTCTAAACTAATTTCTTGCAGTTTCTACCGACTGCATCGTTCCTGCCGGTTGTACTGTGGTCATTGCAACTTTCAAAGTTCATCGTCTGGAAGAATATTACCCAAATCCTGATAAATTCGATCCTGATAATTTCCTTCCAGAGCGTACAGCAAACAGACATTATTATTCATTTATTCCGTTTAGTGCTGGACCTCGCAGCTGTGTTGGTGAGTTATTTAAAAAAAAGAAAATGTCTGCACAGACTGATTCTTTTTGTCTAGGTCGCAAATATGCCATGTTGAAACTGAAAATTCTTCTTTCTACCATTCTGAGGAACTATCGTGTCTACTCAGATTTAAAAGAAAAAGATTTCCAACTGCAAGGCGATATTATCCTCAAACGTGCCGAAGGGTTCAGGGTGCGATTAGAACCAAGAAAAATGACGAAGGCATAATTCTGTTATATTTAACAAAATATTGATGTATTAGCACAAAGCTGTATATTTTTAGCACAAAATGTGGGATTATTTAATTGTGTAGTTTAAGAATAGAGGTAGTTGACGAACATTGCAATTTAAAAGTTTTTTTAACTGTGTCTAACCAACACTAATCAAAAGCAATGACCTCCGTAAACGCGATGTCACCTTTCTATAATTTGAAACAAGTGAGCGTGTAGACAATTAAACTGCATATAATAGAAGTTAAATGCCACAAACTTAACAGGAAATAAACAAAGCGCTGGTATTGTATTCGGTTGAAACTATTTTAAATATGCAGTATTATTTATTTTTGACCGGAAAATGTTCCATATTTTTATTGTTGATAGTTTGCTCCTTTAACTTCAATTGCATATTGTTTTCATGAAAAAACAAGTAGGACACAAAATTCTTCAAATATTTTGTTTGGAAGGCGATAATTGTGGTTTATTAGTTTAGTAAGTGTTCCGGGTGATGCTGGGGTCGTTGCTTTGAACTTGTTGGCGTTTCCAAAGACACGTTCTGTTTTAAACTCGCTTTGAAGTTGAGAGCAGCATCTATTTTGCCTACATTTTAGCACTATGTAAACATCTTTTAAAAGTAATAATAGTAGTCAGAAAATAAACATGTGGTTATCTTTATTTTAACGTAATAGTAACCATTCCTATCGAGAGTTATGTATAAGTTGTTGATAATGAAAGTGCCAAATGCTAATTAAATTGTAAAATAACATAAATTTCTCAACAATGGTAATAATTAACATAACAGACCGTAAGTTCTGGAACAGTTTTCCAACATCCACTGTAATCTGAGGTTTCTAATTTTTAAATTTGCAACATGAAAATGTTATTGGATGATCCGCTACTTCTGAGGTAGGTATGTTGTTCAAGTGTGACCACTAAAACGCGTAAGTTTGTTTATTTATATGACAAGTACCCTTAAGGTTATATGTGATTTTGTAACTTTTGATATAATTTTGACCATATAACATAGAAAAAATATGAACTAAGACTATTATAACTCCAGTGATCAAATTTTGACTTTAAAAGGCATCCATACTTTAAGTTTGGAATGTTCTTGTAAGATAGAGAGAACAACTGTTGATATGGTAGCAATTTTTCCCTCAAAGTTCTGCAAGAAGTTTCGACAAACTTCTTTTCTGTTCCTTGAGGTCGAATGATAGTTTGCTAATGAGTTAATGAAAAATATTTCATAGATTTTAGTCACGTCTTATTTAAAAATGGCAGTGTATCACTGCCAGAGATAATCTTTTTTTTAATAACGTACATTAAATAAAATCGAAAATATTTCATTTTTTCACTTTAGTTATTTATTACAGATACATCAGTAAGCACAATAAAAAAAATCCCCATTTTTGGAAAAATGTACTTGCATAAAACGTTTAATAAATTGTAAACAAAAACAAGATCGTGAGAGAAAGCACGATAAGTAAAAACACTATATATGTCGACGACCTCTACGTTTGTTCAGTGGTCATGAATCATATCTTGTAAAGAGATATTTAAATTAACTTTTCGTTGTCACTGACAGATATAAAACTTTCAATCTACACGAAATTTTAAATCGACGTGAAAGTATAATTTCTTATGTATTTTATAAGTCTATAACTATAGGTCGACGAATAATCAATTAAAGTGAAATGGCCGGTAATTATGTAGTTCAATAAGAAACTGTGATTTTTATATAATTACTAAAAATAACGTTGCAACATTTATTTTTGCTTTCTCATACATACAAGGAAAATGATGGAAACCTTGAAACACTGAATGGGGGTATTTTATTTACATACATTTTATATAGTTAATATTGTTACCTATTATTATTATTATTATTATTATTATGAGTAATCCCTCAACAGGCTGAGAGCCCAATTACTGAGGAATAAAAACTAGAAAATAAAGGCAAAAACAACTAAGTTAATATAGAATTAGACACTGAAAAACTGCTTAATTTTTGCCGGCGAAGTACTAAATATATCAATTTCCGATTCCACCTCTCCATAGTTTTGAAGCATTTGATATACTGGAGACGATTTCAATATGTTTGTTCTTGGGACAGGCATATGCAACAAAGAATATGATCTTAAACCTGGTTTTAACACACGTAGCTTTAGGATCTTAAGAACCTATACGTTATGTACTTCCAACAACTGTCCGAATGCTACCTACTTTGGATCCATGGAACGCAAATGATATCAAAATGTGACACTTAATTTAAAAAAACTCGCAGTGTTTGGTAAGATTAAACATTTTCAGTATAATACTCAAAAGCAAATGAAATTAAATGAAATGAAATAATTTCAATATTTACACAACCTTTCACTAAGAAAAACAACAATCCAGGTATTGCTCTAAGATTTCACTGTAGTTTTAAAAAAAATAGGTACAAAAGTTAACACTAAAAATTATATTTTTATTTAACCCTTTGCAACTTAAACTCTGTTCATATAAGTCTGAAAAAAGTCCTTCAGTGATCAGTGATCCTAATCACTTATCAGATACCTATAAATTACTGGTTGTCATTTAGAGTTGTTGGTTGCGCGCGCACTTAGTACTTGTCTGATTCTCAAAAGGTGCCTTTTCAGTTAAAGAGAATAGCGTGTCTTAATAGTGCAAAAACTGCGTAACCTTCACGACAATTACAATTTTAGCGTAGATGTAGACGGATTTCGCAGACACTTCACATTACAAGATTACACCACCATTTCACCTTACTCCTTTCTTTCTATCCCTTTCTCTCACTCTTTCACTACCAAAATACAAAAATTACTAGACTAGTTACACAAGTACCAATATACATCACGTTTTGCAGTTAAAGTTACATTAAGATAATTAATCTCAACACTCCTTCTTAATTATTTTACAACGCAGTGATTCAAACAAGTTTCGTGGGAGGGGCTTTGTGAATATCGTACTGTGAGAGCGATACTCACGTAACTCAAAAAGACCATGTTTTGAGTAATGATGATTTAAAATTCCCAAGTGTTTATTATATATTATTTGTATCTTATATACCGAAGGCTTCGAAATACATTATAGTCGTATTGTCACTCTATTATTAATCGTATTTTTATTCCTTTAGAGTAGAACCTTCTACTCGTTATAGAAAACAAGAAATTTTGACTTACGTGACTATTCCACTGGTACACAATATCAAAAATTTAAGACAAAAGCAAACTAGCAACACATTGTAATGAAAAAAATATAACAAAACACAAAACGATGACAGTATTAATTCATTCAACATCTACTATGGCTAAATTGTTATAAAATGTGTTATAATTTTATTTAATTCGTTTTTTTTATACATAATTGATTCAGTCCATCGTATTTTTTTACGTATTGCTAAAGGACCTTCATAAATATTGTTTAATCATTTTCATTTAAGTCTGATGCCGCCGTTGTCGTGATGTTCGGGAATTGATTGACTATTATTTCCTGATATATTTCCTTTCTATACGAAGTTACAAAATTCCATCGGAATTTTTGACAAATTTTAAATTTTTTATTTCGCTCTAATTAACTTTACTACCTTTCCTATTCAAAGAAAAATTGATTTCCATGTTTTCGGTCAATTCTTAGTTATATCAGTAGAGATTGTGCATTTGTTGTGTTCAATTTGTACCTAAATTAGTAGGAGTATCAGATTATTATCAACATCGACTGAAATCTCATAGCTTCATAGCTTACGTGCATTTCACTTATTTTTGAGATACGGCAGTCTTGCATTAAGTGCACACGTAATTTTCGGAAATGCAATACAAACATTTTGCTGAATTTGAGCATTACGCAACTATTAAAAACCGTTTATGCTTACATATACTAAAACTACATTAACTTGTTTATGCATTAATGATAAATTTAAGAATTCGGCAAATTTTGACTTACGTGAGTATTGCTCTCACAGTGCGATATGTCAACAAGTTGCTTACCACTATCAACATATTTAAGTGTGATTGTCTTGTTGACATGTTCGTGAAAAAACCTACGTGGGATTTCTATTTTATATGCTTCTTCCCTTTTGTAGTACCTTCATGTGTGTTGTACATCATGTGAATTGCTGCTTGATTGTCGGTAAGTAATTTGATGGATTTATTTTCCTTTACAAATCCAAGTTCCAGACAAATTCTTTTGACCCAACAAACATCATCAGTTGCAGATACGGCCGCTCGGTACTCCGCTTCAGCCATCGAGGTTGCTACCAGACGTTGTTTCTGTGTGTACCAGACAATTGGTCCTCCTCTCATCACAAGTACTCCAGCAGTTTTTGGTCTCAGGTTCTCCACCGTACATACATATTGAAAAACCCTTTTCACCATTCGCCAGTGACTCATCATTGCCTTTCCGTTGAAGAGACTTAGAAAGTTGACAGCAAAACTAATGTCCAGATGGTGGTATGGATTGATCGTTCATTTTGTCCTCTTTTCCTGTTACCACGCCTTTCTCGATAGGAGTTAACTTTGCATTGCACGAATCGAATTTGAAGCGTCGAATAATCTTCTCTGTATATTTTAGGTGACCTATAAAGATGTCTTCTTTGTCAATGCGAATTTCCATTCAGAGAGACATGCGATCTTGCTTTGAACTTGACGGCTGTATCTGATTTCAAATTTGGAGTTGATGATGTCGAGTATCCCTTAGATTTCCTTTTCATCGTAGTCAACGATAAACAAAGTCATCAGGATGGTCTTATCCTTATTATAATATAAACAGGGATCATCATGATCGGTGTTCAGTACTCCTATTTGCTTCTCAAGGAATTTTTAAATCGTATCATGTCATTTCCTCGCAGCCTGTTTCAGTTCATATAATCCTTTCTGTACTTTGCAAACATAGTTGGTGCCATCTTCAAACCCTTCTGGTTGATGCATGTAAATTTCCTCCTCCAGATTGCCGTATAGGAAAGCTGTCTTGATATCAAAGGGAACAAGTGTGATTTTCTGGACTGAACGTTTCCGTATAATCAATTCCTTCTTCCTGTGCAAAACCGCGTGCTACCGGATGTGCTTTCAATCTTCCATGTGCCTTCTCATATAACACCCATCTGCATGTCAACGGTCGAACTCCTTCAGGGCACTTCACAAGTTTCCAGGTCTTCATTTGTGTAAGAGAATTAAATTCCTCTTGCATCTCACGCTTCCATTTGTGATCCTTCAGTGCCTCGTTGACAGTGATGTCCTGAATTTCTCCTATCAAGGCTACATTTGTACTTCAGCCGGTGCGGTATTGATATCGCTGAAGTCCTCGTCTTGTCAGAGGTGCTGTTTCATCTTCAGTAATTTTGCCTTCAAGATTTCCCTGTCCTTGATCTTCATCCTCCAGACTCTCACTCTCATCCTCAAGACTTGTATCAGACTCGCATTCTTCATCTTCATGACCTGCATCAGTCTTTCCAGATGTTATTGGCACATCTCCTATATCTTAAGAACGTATGCCTGATTCCTCGCTCCACCAAAAGCTAACTTGTGATTTTGTTCTTTATTTCAGTTCCATGATCCGACCTCAGTTCCTTCACCTTCCTTCCAAATTGATTTTCCACTTGTATCAGAAATATCTTCAGTTTGTCCGGAGTTTCATTCTTCGACTTCAGATAGTAAACGGTTCGAAAGTGGGAATAATCATCCTTAAACATCAGGAAATAATTCGCTTCTCCGATCGACGTGACGTTCATTTCTCCATGATCTACCTGAACTAGATCTACTAATGTTTGAGCTGCTACCTTCTCATTTTTGGGATGTGAAATTCAGTGTTGTTTCCCATAAATGCATCCTTCACAGACTCGGTTGTTCCAGTCGTACTTGATGTTACTTCTGTCCAGAATGTCGTTGACGTACCTCAGATTCTGGTGTGCAAGCCTCTCATGCCAGATAACAATTGAGGTTGCAATCAGACTGGTCTTCTGATTGGGTAGTCGGACCATCACTCTATACAAGTTTTCTTCTCGTTACTTAATGTAGTTTAAACCACCTTACATTAATTTCTTTGAATTGATCTAATTTTGTGTTCTCTATGATTTTTTGGGTTAAAGTGGATTCGCTCTAGTTAATTCCATACTCATGAAATCATGTTGTGTAAAGCAAGCTGAAGCAGGAACCAATCAAAACACAACATTTAGTTTTCCTCAGCGAGGGGACTGAAAAACACTGAAAACCATGACACTATATCTATTAGATATATCGTTGAAAACCCTTAATAAATTACTCAATTTAGTACAAAGTTGAGCTTTATTCAACTTTCAATTTTTTTGTTAAGTTACAATAGATCTCCTGTTGCCTAACATTTTAAAAATATTTTCGTGGAATCCACGCAATGTACAACTGTGACATAAGTGACGCATTTCTGAAAACACTTTCAAGTACAAATTTTCCAAAAAGACCAAAACATTACCAACCATGGTGTCGTTTGAAGAACCTGTTTTAGCACTGGAACATGATATGTCGCCTGTAAAAAAAGAACGATTAAAAAGATTACAAAAAGAAATGTTACGAAAAAAATTCAGAGAAAGTTTGCCGGTGTTGAATAAACAGCAAATACGCAAACATCGTCTCCCATATCACGAATCTCTTCTCGCAGATCTAGAAGACAACGGTTTCGTAAACTCTGCAGAATTTATTAAGCAATTAATAGAGCTTCAAGAACGAACCAGAAAGAAATCTGGTCCTGGAACTGTCGTCTGGTTGAGACCACAATTAAAATATTCTAAATCAACTCTTGACGTGCTAGTTAAATGTCTAACCACTGCAGAAACAGCCCATAACGAAGACAAAGTGGGTTTGGAATGGGATGAAATGTTGCACTTGGCTGCTCAGTACGCTTTTGGTTCGGAGGATTGGTGGTGGTTGGGAGAGCAGCTCTTGTATCAGTGTGTTTCGATTGAATACCCTGACGAATTCAACAAACAAGAAGCTATTGCTTATTTCATCATAGGCAAGTACTTGGTAGAAAAGGGTAAGAAAATGGAACCCGGTAGGTATTACCTCGACCTTGCAAGAGTCATGTCGAAAGGAAAATCATGGACATGTTCTAAAATTTTGGGCAAGCGGCAAGATATAGTGTTTATTGAATCTTGTAGATTATTGTATAGTGTCTTGATAGAAGAGGCCGTGTTGATTATGAAAACAGATCCAAAAAAAGCTCTTGAAATTTGCAACGTTGCTCGAAAACGAGCAGCCGAAGCGTGTGATCATAACAACGAATATGAAGCTTCGCTGTTGAGAGGGAGATGCGAATTGCTTTTAAATCGTTCACTAGATGCCATCGCCACTGTGTTGAAAACGCTACATCGTACAGTTCGTCGTGGTTTTGTAAAAGGAATATGTGAAGCTAAAATTGCTTTGGCGCTAGCGTACCTCCAGTAAAAACTAATGTAATAGGTATATTTTACATTTACTTATGTGCTGCTGTTGTAGACACGGAAAAACAGTAGAATGTTTGGTATGTTTAAAGGATTTGAAAAAATTAGCAAAAGAACATAATCTCGTGTTTTATGTGGCGCAAGCGTACAGATTTATGGGAGAATATTTTCTGAATCAGAAGGAACCATCTGAAGCTACGCCATTACTAATGCACGGATTTTTTTTGTTTCATGACATCGAAGATATGAGGAGAGGAGAAAAAGTGAGAACGTGGGCAGCAATTTCAGCAGGTTCGTCTATTATCGTAAAGTACACCAAAGTAAAGACTTTAGATGCTTTAGATATAAAAAAAATATGGGTGAGATGGGTTAAACAACTGACTGTGACTGCGTGCGCAACAGATAAGGTGTAAGGTTAGATAGGCTGATTTATAAGTAACCCTTTGACCTCCTTGGTGAACAAACTCTAAGTAACTCTGTTTTGATGGCTCAGCGTTTTACATAATTCGAACTTATAATAAAACGGCGTGCGCGTGACCTAAACTGCAGTCAATTTGTCCAGTGGTCCAGTTCAACAGTGAATGCTTGATATCCCAATCAAGGAATTTATTGTCGTAAATACCGTAAAATAGCCAAAACCAAATCTATAGTTGACTGAACGTAGTGAAATAAGAACCCAACCTGGAGCTTGGAGATAACCCGCCTAAAACAGTCTCCGGGTCAAACGGTATCAGTCCTTAATAGACAAATGCAGATTAGCGTTGTATCAGCTTCAAAATAATTTTAAAAGTTGTACCTACGTGAAATTTCAATGAAATTTTTTTTAGTACGTTTTCAGAGATTTTTTGACGTACAGACACACCGACGGAAACGTGCGATCGACTTTTTCATTATAGTCTATGACCTGTGAAATGCGACCAATCACTTTTGGAAGTATTTTTTATTTATTTTATTAATTAGTATAAATAGCATTGCTATAAAAACATCGATGTCACAGTACTGACAAATGTAATAGTGTACGTTACAATTCCGTATGTATTCATTACATTCAGACAGACTACTAAGAAACTTTGACTGATCAAGCATTACAAACTTTGAGCTTAAATTTTTGTAGAATTTGCGTTTTTTCTTCAACAGTACAAAATAGTCACTTCTAGTGTCAAAATTTAAATTTAATTACTTCTGTTATCTGTAAATCTGGGTACTAAAATATGTACAACAAATCTTTGTTATTTTAGGTGAAGAACTATTTCCTGCTTTCATTGAATTAATACAAAAGGCAGACAACACTGAAGACGGCCGTGCGTATCTGATGAAGTTAATTGAATGGATTGATGAAAGAAAATTTTTCTGGCTTCACGACACCCAGTTCTCATTTTCTTTTACTGCATCAGGACAAAGTGTCTTCGAGTACACACTAGAAGATGTCGCTCGCTTGACTAATAAAAAATAAATTATATTAATGATAATTTATTTAAAGTATGAACACTAACTAAATACTATCAGTTTAAACGACAAAGCAAAGTCTAACAGAAACAAAATATGCTTTACAATATGAACGATGAGTGTCTTGTGTAAAAAACATTTAGTAATTGATTTGACCAATTGTAAAAATTCTTATGATTAATTCATCAGTTGTTAATTTCATCACTGAAAGTAACTCTTTTCTTTTTCCTTTCTGATCCATTGAGGACATCTGTATCTGAATTACCTTTATTTTTGTCTTTAAGATCATTACTGTCTGAGTCACTTCCTTCACTGCTGGTTTCAGTTTTTGTTTTTTCCACTGTAGTGTTTGATGAGTCTGATGAATTAGAATCTTCGTTTGTGCTTTTTTTGATTTCTTGTTCTTCTGTGGCTTCCACAGCAGGGATAACTGATTTTTCGCCATTGACCACGTCTTCGCTGGGTGGAGTTTCCAGGCTTACATTAGTCTCAACATTTTCAGAGTCTGATTTATCTATTCCATTTTTGTCTAACTCTTCACTCTTTTCTTCTTTGGGTTCTTCAGGCGACTCTGATTGTTCATGTTCATCTGTAGCAGTCTCATCAGTGTTTTCTTCAGGTTTAGTCTCTTCTTTACTTTCTTTTTCATTATCTTCTTGTTTCTCTTCTTTTTCCCCATTGTCTATGAGTTGTGAAACACGACGTTTAGGCACAAGATTTGAAACAATGGCGGATTTGGGAGTTTCTTCTAGTTTCTCTTCTACTTCCTCTGCAGGCTCAGTTGTCTCAACTTGAGAAAGTCTTCTTTTAGATTTGGGTTGGTCACTCTTGCTGGACACTTCTTCTGGCTTGCTAATATGATATTCTATCCTACTGCTGCCATCTTTTTCTCCTTTCTTATTCCTTGGCTTTAATTTAATCTTTATAATCGGGCGCATCTTCGGCGTCTCTTTAATGCTAACGTCTTTAGCATTTTTAAGATTAACGTACGCAATCTTTTTGTATAATCTCTTGTCGAGTTTGAGCTCATCATCAACCTGATAATTATAATTACACAACGGTTGCAAGTATGAAAAACAGTTATCAAAAATTTTACGTTTCTTTGAACTTGGGGGTGACTTAGGTAATGATTTTCTTTTAGGAGTATCACCTTGCTTTTGAACTATTTCCTGTGATTTCTTTTTCTGAGTAGCTAGCTGTGGCTGCAAAATATTAGTGTTAAATTTGAATGATGATTAGTGATGTTACTTACAAATTTATACGTCAACTTTGTCTTAAAATTGTATATCGCGTCAAAGTAAAAGAAACATTTGGGACAAGTACACAACGAGTAGTTGTTTGAAGTCAGATATCCTTCCGTTCTTTCTAGGAAATTCTTCCAATTTTTGTCCATCTGCATCAAAGATTTGTCTGTTTTACAAAAACAACAAACTTTCTCGTCACTTGCAGGCAGATCATCTTCAGTACTCAATACGTCTTTTACTTCAATGGCAATTTGTATTTTGTAACAGCATACAACACATATTTTAATTAAACCTTTGATTTTCTGGAACTAAGTTAGTAATAGAAAAAATTGTTATTTTAAATATAATCTCAGCTTACCTCAGCCTCCGGTAAAAAATTTTCATATAAGATATTTGGTAGAAATTTGGAATATTCTTCAGCATCTGAAGAAGTTAATACCCTGGTGTTTTCTGAACATAAACTGCAGACACCTCTTATCAGTTCCATTGCTATCGGCGCAATTAATTAACTAGTGTAGTTTGCGGACTACTGCATATATTTTTAAAATTTCTTTGTACAAAGGCCAGAAACCATACGACAACGACGCTTAAAACGAAAATAAAGACATCATAACCACCGACCCGCCAAATGCCACCATCTTCCTCTCGGAAGCTTCAAACAGTTCTGCCAACAAAAGTACACGTCAAATGTGGAAACGCAGGAAATGAGAATTTTTCACCGATATTGTTTCAAATTGACACCAATTTTGGTGACTGATAGTCCGAAGAGGTTGCGCCGAGTGATACCATACAATTTAACAACCTACCGTTCAAGTTTTCGCTATTTTAAATAACTCACGAAAACAAAGTAAAAAGGAGAAGCTAATGAACTTATTATTTTTGAAGGGAATAGATTTTTTGTGTTGTTACGTTGGCAGCGTGCGGTTGTTTTGATGGATTTGACATATTTGAGTCCCCTTCAGAATATTTTAAAATTGAAGTTGGATATTGATTTAAATCAATTATTAATTGTTTAAAAAGGGGAGCTTTATTTAGAAAAAATCGTTACTTTGGGTATTCGTAATGAATGGGAAGATTTGTAGGTTATGTATGGCGTACCCGTCTATTTGTTTTTCTTTGTTAGAAAACAATTTTTCAGAAATGTTAGAGGCACTTACTTCAATAAAGGTAAAAACTGAAACTATAATTTCAAATTATTGTGATTTCTTTTTTAGGTGAACCCAAATGATGTGGTATCGACTATTTCTTGCATGAAATGTTTACTCAACATAAAACTGGCTTTCAATATCCAACAAAATATTTTGAAAGCTGATAGAAGATTAAGAGAAATGACGCTCTTGAATAATGTTGAAGTAAAGTTAGAAGAATCTGATTGTGTGTTAGATCATGGAAATATAAATAATGTCAGTTTATCCACAGAAGCAAACATTCATAATTTAAATGAATCAGATAAATTAAATTTATCTTGTTCAAATTGCATAATATGTGGCGTTGAAGTAGAAAGCACTTTGTTGGTTAAACATGTTCAAGAACATTTCAGTGATAAGCAGAATTGTGATTGCTGCAATAAATCATTCAATAATATTAGTGAATATAAAGGACATGTTGCTCATAAACATAAACATTGTAAAAACATAAGCCACAGGTGTAAAAAATGTGGCGGAACTTTTCGTTATAAAAGCTTGTATAACATCCACATGAAGCAGGCTCACCAGAATTTGGAAGGTGCAAATACTGAAAAAATATTTCAGTTTGGTTTAAAATCCAAAAAGTCTGTAAAATTACTATTAGAAGCTAAAGTAAAGGAACTTGAAAAAGGTCCTTTCATTTGTAATGTGTGTAAAAAAGAGTTTCAGTTTAAAAGACAACTGATGAATCATACTCACCAAAAAAAGAAATGTCCCATTTGCGAGGCGGAAATTTCAAAAAGCAACTTAAAAAAACACATAGTGAATCACTCTTCAGGTCCCCAAATTTGTGAGCTTTGTGGAGCGAGTTTGAGAAGTTTGGAGAGCTTGAGAGGCCATCTAGCTCATACACATAGTACAGTTATGTACACTTGTGATGAATGTGGTAAGGAGTTTAGAAAAAAGTACCCTTTTCTTCTACACAAGAAGAAACATTCTGGTATGAGATTCATATTCAATAGACTAAATTTTTTTTATTATGATTTTCAGGTGAAAAAGCACATATTTGTGAAACTTGTGGTAAATCTTTCCTCACGTTTTTCTATCTTAATAAGCATATTAAGACGGCACATTTAAAGTTGCGTCCGTTTATTTGTGAATATTGTCACAAAGGCTTTTCCAGCAAATTTGCTCTGAAGACACATATTAGACAGCACACTAATGAGACACCATATAAATGTGAAATTTGTGGTGAGGGCTTCAGACAGAATGTGTCATTAAGAGCACATAGAAAATCAAAACATAACATTGTTGAAGCTAAAACGTGTGCTTGTCCAGTTTGTGGCAAATTATTTGGTTCTGATCAGGCTATTGTTAGTCATATGAGACTGCATTAGTTACATTTATAATTATTTTGGTCATTCATAGAATCCAAAAATCATTGTGCGTTGTTTTTGTTAGTGACTGTGAAGAGTGATATTCGTTAAAAGCTGATTTGAATAACAAATTGTTGTATTGTTGCATTGGAGTTTTATTTTGTTCCCACACTTCTCAATTGCAAATTCCCACATTTTTTATTTAGTGAGATTGAAACCGCCCCGCTTTCTATTATTGGAATGTAAATATTAGTGTGCATTTAATGGGTTTTTAAAGCTAATGAATAACAACTAGCGGGTTTTATTGTCTAATAAATTTAAAACTGATTGGTATTTTAATTGATGCGATCGATGTAACGCATTGTTGGTTGCATACACACTGCTGTGCATTTAATTGCAACTGCGCATGTGTCAATGTCTAAAAAAATTTTGATAGAAGTGTTTGTGTTTGTGGGAAGGTTTGGACTTTGATAAAACTCGAAATTTGTGTGGACGCTGTTAAAGCTAATTTAATTGTAATTAATCCACATGGAACATAAATAATGAAACTAACGATTAAAAGTACGTCAAGTACATTATAACCTCACTTTTTTTAATTATTTGTATCAACTCATGTCTTTCTAGATTGGACTGGAGTAGCCACTTGGAGATGGGTCGCTAATGATGATAATTGCGGAATTTGTCGAATGCCCTTTGATGGCTGCTGCCCTGATTGTAAGCTACCAGGGGACGATTGTCCCTTAGTTTGGGGCCAGTGTTCACATTGTTTTCATATGCACTGCATTGTAAAGTGGCTACAGTCGCAACCAGTAAATCAACAGTGCCCTATGTGTAGGCAAGGGTGGAAATTCAATAACAAATAAAGGTAAAATCAAACTTACGTGCTCACAACTGCAATGGCTACCTACTGTATGAACATTGTACTATATTTTTGATACTGTTGATCTAAAGATGATATAACATTTCAATGTATATTTTTTCCAAATAAAATGCAGAGTAAAATTCCTAATATAAATATAAAGACAAAATTGTGATTTGCTTAATGCAATATAAAGTTGATAGTTTCTGTATATGTATACAACTGGCGTGTTAGGATATTTGTAAAAATATAGTTCATTATTTTTGAGGGGAGTTGGACGATGCGTTATTATATTATACCTTTGTAAACATTTAGGTGTTAAAGGACATAGAAAAGAGTGCACCTCCTGTTTAATTTTTGAGTTCAAATTTCTAAGTGAGTTTAATTTATAGAAAAATATAAAGAAGAAACTATGTTGATGTCATTAAATTTTTGGAGGTGATGAACAGATAAATTCTGATTCACTGTTTACAAGCACATTGAAGCCAAATTTAAAAGCAAGAAAAGCACATTTTAAATCGGATTTATTTAGCAGAATTTTGCGAGGACGTCATCACAGTTTTAGTAGTGATGAATGGACAAATTTAGATTAGCGTTTTGGCATCTACATTATGATTTTAAAATAAATTTAAAGTTTAACCACAATCTGCTGATAATTCCGTAGATAACTTGTTTAATAACATCCCAACGGACGATAGGCGAGCGACAGACAGACAGACGGAAATGAGAGACCTATTTTTTTTATATTCTACGAGCAATGAAACCTCAAGGCAAATTATGCATTCATTAAATATACACCATATTGCAATACTAGCTTGATTAACAAGTAAAATATAATTTAATATTTTTTGAGAGATCGATTATATTAATTTTTAAGTGTTTGTAATTCTGGCTATAGAATCACTATTTTGTCGGGAAACTTAAATAAACATTTATACATATAATAACTTCATAATTAGTTTTAGAGGATGATGTAAATACAGTTAATGTTCTGCAATTATTAATTATTGTTAATATCTTACTAAAATTTTGAAGAAGTCCATCATATAATCGTTTTAGGCAATTTGTAAATGTAATTGCGAAAATGGGGCCAGGATTATTAAAATATAGGTAAAGAATATGTTTATTACTTAACAAGATTTAGAGATGACGTTATCAGTTTTTCAAGGAGATGAATACACGAATTTTAGTTAGCGTGTCACCAGCTTTAGAAGAACCTTAAAGTATTACAATAATTAAGATTTCAAACTAGACGGTACATATAATTTGTAAAAAATAAGGGAAAATGCAGACGTTTCATACTTGTAATTCCCAGATGTTGTACGTCGTGTTCGTAACTTCTTGTAATTTTTAACTAGAATTTGCTTTTTTATTGACAGTTTACCATTTTATTGTCAGTTTTTAAAACTTGTTATAAAATTCATTTAGATGTAAACCGACAATTCAAATCGAACTTGCTTCTAAATTTACCACAAACATATTTTTATCCGGATCAAATATGTTAAGAATTCTGTTGTGTAAATTTTTACTCTATTTAACTTGGAAGTTTTCAATTGTTAAAAAAAGTAAGCAACCAATTCCAGTTTTTAAGATGTAAACTTTTGATTACGTGAGTGGGACTGGCGCGACTTAGTTTTACCGGTTTCTTGTCAGCTTTAATCCAATGTGATTTTCGTCCGCCGATTTTTTTTATCGGTGGGAAATAATTTTGTTAATTAGGTCTAGTTCATTGTGCATAGTATGTAACCCCAGCCCTATATTGATTATTAATTGTTGTTTGTTTGATGGAGTGGCCCACAAATAGCTGAGTTGCTAATATAATTTGAAGCTCCAACTTCATCATTGCATGGCGAGTTGACTAATTGCTGTAATGAGATTTTAACATCTGATGGTAAATTAGATTAATATTTTTTCCCACCGTTTAAATGTAATTAGGAGCATCCTTGAATTTTGTCCCTTAATGATAGAGTTCAAGGCACAACGTTATTGTAAACTTATTTAGAGTCTATTACTGTCTAAATTTTGTTAACGGATTCTGTTGGTTCATCGCAGGACAATAACAAGAAAACGTTACAGTAATGTCGAGTCAGTCACGACAATGCTCTACTCTCGCAATTAAATGTTGCGTTATATAACATTGTATTTTTTAAATTATCTTTGTATCTAACATTGTGAGATGTAACAGATTTTTTTATTGGGAAAGTATGAGTTTTTTTTCGAAATTTTTACGCGAATCTGGGTAGGATATCGTGGATTCCGTATTTGTATGCTGAAGATAATGTAAACACGTCATTGTTCTGTTTGTACACTGTGTACCACTGTTTTATGTACGGATACAATACTTCACGTACGTGCACATTCATTCCATATACATCAATTAGGTTATAATAAATTTACCGTGATGGTTTCTGTGGCGTGGTAATTGAAATTAGATGGTAATATAGTATTGCTGTAGTTCATTTGAAAGTTGGAATTATTCTAGCCATAAAATAGTAAACAGTGCGATTTCAATGCCGCGTTTGAAAGTTACAATCCCTTGTGAATTTACAGTCATGTAGGCGTTAAAAATGAATTACTGTACGGAATGCATTCCGTCGGAAAAATCTGGTTGACATTTCCCCGAGTCACCGTTACATTTTCATTCCTTCCGCATATCATTATCTCGTTCATCCATTTTAATTAATATTAATGGAATATTACTTTCTGATGAAGAGCCAGCGCCTGCGTCTTCGGCGCGCAAATTTCGAACGCGTAAAGTCACCCTCGCGAAAAAACAACACGGGAAAGTCATTTTCACTCGTGTGGGACTCGCGTTATTTGTTTGTGTTTTCGTCGAGCACCTATTAACTATTGCATTAATTCCCCTTCTACCTGTCGCAAGGCCTCTCCTCGTTCCAGCTGCTTATCGCATTTAGTACGTTTACAGCGGTCGAGGATGATGTGTGCCGACTGCGAGCGCTAGTGATTCATTCGAGTGACTAACGAGTGTCACAAGATGATTATGATGAGGTCTACACCTTCCACGAAGATCGCCAAGCCGCCGCCGCCGGTCCCTCCCCGCCCCAGCAAGACGCTGGTGGCCGAAGCGCTGGCCAAAACCAGGAAATTGACGCCCGACGCGCAAAAAACCGCCCCCGTGAGGACGGCGCCGCCGCCGCCGACCAACGATATCAACAGGTCCAAGTCGACGGTCAACGTCAACGTGCAAAAGCCGGCGCCCTTCGACAGGTCGATCTCCGAAGAAGTCAAGTGCAGCACGAGGACCGTCATCTTTCAGTCGCCGAAAATCGAACCGGAAAACAAGAAACGCGTCGAAGTCAAGAAGGTCGACAGTTTTCGCGATGGGAGAGATAAGGTGGAACGAGCGGAAAGTTTCAAGAACAAAGTGGCGAAGACCGAAAGTGTTAAGAAGGATAATGATGACAAATCTGGGAGTGCTGAGAACAAACAGTGGGACCAAATGTTGAACGATCGCAATCATGTGAATACTTTGATTGATGAGATGTTTGCGAGTGTTTTGGAAGTTTCTGCTAATGAGGAAGACAATAAGGTTGTTATTAATACGAATGTCGAAACGAATTCTCCCACTGTGGTTGTGGTCGAAGACAATCACAGCAACACGTCGACCGCGGAAAAGAAAAAAGTTCAATTTGATGACCGTATGAATCACGAACTGTTGATTTCCGAATTGGAGAGTATGAGGTTGGAAGATGAGAAGATACTAAAGAGGCAGAGGTTGCCGTCGAAAGACATTTACAGTAGTAGTGATAGTGTTGATGTGTCTAAAATTCACCATTCTGACTGGGTGGAAGTGAGTGATGGACAGGAAGTGCGGTTATCAAGCTGTCAGATCACAATTGAGGATCTTAAAAATGAAGATGACGACAAGAACAAATTAAAGCTGGACTACGAAAGGTACAACATTGAGGATTTGTAGTTTACGTAATATGTTTCCTTGCGCCTCAGGACGTCACTGTTTTATCACGATATTGCTAAACATTGCTTTTGCTTTACTATAATTAACATTGTGAAAGATCCGTTTAGCGAAATTATAAACCGAGTAGTCGACCATTGGTATCGTGGTACCCTCATGTTGATAAATTAACACGATAAGACTATTTATGACCAAAGAATTTTTCTTCTTCCAGAATTAAAACGATGTCCTCGCTTCACGGCCTACCTCCACTGCCGAAAAGCCTCAGCGGTTTCAATCTCCTGGACGGCCAGACGAAACCCCCAACCCCCGTAAGAACGACCTCGATGCGTGGTCAAACCCCTTCAGGACACTTGGTGTATCCTCCACACCCAAAAATCAATGGAACGACTGAAGTAACCCTCACACCAAATACGGGTAGAAAATCAACAAATTTGGACGCGCAGTTGGCGATCTTGCGACGTGAAATGGTGAGTTTTATTTTTCATTATAGTTCGTATGGAATGAGCCAAGGTCGTTCGGCAAATATCATACGCATAAAAATTTCATACCGCTTACCAAGGTTGACTTGTGCGATTTATTTCCAATAGCGGAGACAAGTTGATTGCAACTGCAACAGCACGCGGCCTAAGACGTAATAGGTCAAAGACTTAAATTATAATTAATGTTGTTACTTCACTGCATGGTGATGTCCGTTGAAACCTGCGGGCGCAACGTGGGACTCATTAACTCGTGCCTTGCCGTTTGAGAAGGGATCGTTGAATATTATATCGAAAGGCAGGTGTTTCCAGGGGATTTTTCACGTTGCGTAGTGTCAAGGTTATTAGGGAAATGCATGGAGACATGAGCGTATGCAAGGTCGTGTTCAACAATGTGTAACACGATGGCACAGATGACGGGAATTTCGGGTCGTAACAAAAACAACGTTGTTAGCAGAATGTGAGCACTCACATCAAAACGAACTAAACACCGAATGTATTACGGTAATAAAATTCTCTTAGTGTTTTCTGTTAGTCTCCGATGCCACTTTTCACGTTTTGTGTCAAATCATCAAGTTGAGAGGTCTTTGGCATCATACGTAACCTTTAATATCGTCTTAATACCATGAAGTTTTGCAAGAAATTGCTGGGAGCCACGAAAGGATTGCACATTAGTTATTATTTTGTGTTCGTTCGCGTACATTGTCCTCGAACAAATTCACCTGTTCTGCTTGACGTGACGTCACAAACCACTGCACACAGACTAAGATGGTAGATACTGCTCAAGGATTAATGATAATAAGATTAATGTAAAAGAGGGATTTTCAAACAAAATGTACTTTTAAGGTATCGCTTATTGAAAAAGTTTAAAGTGTCACCTTTATTCCGTTTTGCAATTCTCTTGTATCCATAGTTATCATATAATCAACCCGGAACACCTTTTTTTCCACGTCGAAAAAACATACTAAACGGTAAACATAGCCAGCGCTTGCGGTTTTCGAGATAATCTCTTGTCACTTCTACAATATCAGTCATCTACATTTGGCGGCAACTTATATGCAGATTAATCTCGGCGATACAAAACTGGTAAAACAACGTGCTATAATTGGCCTGAATATTTATATTTTTCTTTACAGCAAAGTGATTTCTTTTTTATGTCACAATAGAAACGTGAATGTACACATTGCAACATTTACATTTTTATAATTGCTACCCGGTAAATAAGCTAGCCAAAAAAATTAGAGCATTTTCTGTGTTGAAAATACACCGGTAATTAGTGTTGTCTGCACAAGAGACGATTGAAGCTTGAATTTTTGACTATTAAGATCTTGGAAGCCGTAAAATCTACAAAATGAAGCCACCAAAAAACTGTCATTTGTACCGTAATTAAGATATTAAGAAAAGAACTGATTTTCTTGTTTTTATCTTAGTGTTACGGCGGCAAACGTAAAAGAGTACGGCCACATAATCTAACCAGATCATCGATAACATACCGTTTTTCGGATTCCTTTCTCCATTAAGTATTTCTCATAATTGACCGTTTGTGTGACGTTTAAATGTAAATCAAATAGAAAAAATTGAAATTTAATTTTTAGTACTAGTAACTCCCATTATCCTTTATAGTAACATTATTGAGCTGGTAATTTTTATTGTGTGTATTTTTTTTTTTTAGATTTTGTAGGTTAGAAGTGCCAATAAGTTTTATATGCAACATAAAGCCACTAAAACGAAGTTTATAATCTTAAAACAAAGATGATTTTCAATTTTATACTGGTATTAAATTGTGTTTATGCATTAATAGTTTAATGCTCACTTCTGAAAAACGCGTTCAAAGTGTAGTGTTTATAATGACTCAACTATAATTATAAATGATTCAACGTCATTTGATATACAGGCACCTATCTCATCCGGTCATTGGGTATTTTCCTCATTAGCTTTGCGAAATTTAGATTAACTGATAATCATATACACTCACTATCTAGTTATTTCCTTTTAAGGCGAATTATCTCAGTTGTTCTCTACACGAACTGTGCGTCGGAAAAAATGCACTGCGTCTCAAAAAGTATTCGTTGCCTTTGGCTATGGGTTACGTTTTACTATATAATGCAATGGTTGCATCAGGACAGGTTCTTTATGGTCTTGTATGAAACTTGCAGTAACGGAATTGCTTTAATTCACAGTTCTGGAGCAGTTGTATTTTTTAATTCTTACCACTTGTGAAATAAATGTCTTATTATTTTTGAAAATACGAGTGCGAGATCAAAAATTTCCGAGCTGGTGTAAATACGGATAAAAAATAATTATTTTTTTTTGTATGATGTACTCGATGAAGTTTTATAGTGTGATCAAAAATTTGTAAAAAAAATTCGTAACTCGTTTAATATTATTTACGAGTACATTAATTTGGGCAATTTATTAGCGTGAACATTTGCTTATGTTTAACGACGCATATGTAATTTATGAACTGTTAAAATTTGTTGAAAGTTTGCTGATATACGAAGTTGAAAATGTTATTTAAAGACAACAGGAAACATTTGCACATAATTTTGTTGGATATTGTTGATGATATGTTTGAAAACTTACATAATGCGTTATTTTTAATAACGAGAGGCTTTTATTGAAGAGAGCTACGTCGTTTACGTTTCGGTCAAATTTCAAGCAAAGAATTTTTTCATAGTAGCATAATTATCTGGTTAATAAACATTTTTTGTTTACATCCCCTTTATTCAACAGGATTAAATTTTTTGTTACACCGTTACAAAAAATCGGAGATATTTTTTCATTTGTCTCTTTTACTTGGCTATTTTCCCTTGGAATTGCTATACTAGAAAGGATGTGTTAACAACATGAAGCAACATTTTTTTAGGCTTTTCTTAGCTGTTGCAATCAATTTTTTACTCAGTTGCTCCATAAGTATTGCAGAACTTTCTCTAGTAATGATGTGATCCTTTAGGATTAATCTGGCGTGATTACCCTGAAAAACAACACTCTGTTCTTTGAAATATATTGATGATTTCGCTTTGTTTTTTCCTATCAGGTGCACAACAAATAAATAATCCAATCAAATTACTAAGAATTTGACAATAAGTGTGGAATTTCCCAACAATCGATAATGATGGCGTGTTTCCATATGTGATTGTTCACGTAAAATGCGGCATACTTGTGGACTGAAATTCCCATGATTTTAGCTATTTTGCGTTATCTTAACCGTTGATCTCCCATTACCCTATTAAGAACTTCTTATGGTTTTATAATTTGCTATAGTTTTATACGCAGAACGTTGTTATGAAAGTGTGCGATATAGAATTGTATCCAACACATTGGTCTAAATTTTCTATTTTTAAGTTAAAATATTTCCAAGAGTGCCTTTAGATTAAAATATATTTCATTATTTAAACATTTGGATGAGCTGTCTTTGGTGTTTACTTCTTGATACTTAATGTACTACATACCTGTATTACTTACATTGAATGGCTTATCTATTCTAGTATGATATTTGAACAGTTATCTTATAGTTATGTTGATATGAAGTGAATGTGCTGGCAAAATAAATATGTATTAATAGATTTCCTTGTTTTCTTTTTATTAAAATAATAATAACAGTTTATTTACTGACAAAATAATTATAGATATCTAGCTCGTATAATAAATTAAAATACAGTCCTTTTGTAAAAGAACCTCTTGATTCAGGCATTTCGACAAGTAGTTAATCCTTTAAGCCATACGCTTTGAAAACCAACGCTGCGTAACATTTAATCCGAGCTTTATCGGTGTACAAGAACGGCGGTTGCTAATGCTTGCCATCTAAAAAGTACTCAAAAAACGTAGGGCAGGGTAAAAATTACAACCCATACAGTACAAATAATCAATAAATGGTAACGAGAATTTATTGACCCATTGCACACAACAATCAAATGGGTTGAGTTATCAAATGGTAAAGTGGAATTAATAATGAAATATCGTATTTTCAGTATTGCGCGCCTATTCTTACACATTATTGTCTGTGTATTTGGTATAAAGCACGATTTCCACGGCGCACCACTAAGGTCAACTTCGTGTTCTTTAAACGGGAATTCCACGGCACGCGATTCGGAATACGGCATGGGTTGGTTATTGTCAGAACAATGCCAGATCATGTTAATTCTTGCGCGGTATTGTTGTGTTGTTAATTTTCACTCACAGGACATATTAGTTCTGTGAGTAGAAAATAATGATCACGCTTTGTAATATTAGGGGGTTAGTTGTAAACGTCGTTTTAGTTAAAGTTGTATATTGTTTTTGTAAAAAGGGTTTACTGTAAATTGTTGGTGAAAGAGTGGTACGAAATAAAAAGGGAGCCAGTAATATCAGTACCGTTATTGTAATGAAACGATAAAACAATCCACTGTGAAAACATTAATGAACAGTGCGATTCTTTTGTTAAAGATGAACTCTCCTTTGATTATCTCATTGTGCTGAAACTATCGATGTTGTACCGACAAGGCTGTAACGGTGTGGATTTAATTAGGCTGAAAACTTCAATATTTTTGATGATTTTTCTATTACCGATATCGTAGATTAGAGCTTCTACATCAACAACTAATACCTAAGGCGTTTTGTTGATTCGGAACCATACGTGACACATGACATGTAACGTCCGTCACGAGGGCAACAGTTGAAAAGTGTGATATATAGGTTTTGATGCCGAGTGATATTCCGGCTGTTGACATTTACGTAGAAAAAGTGGAAGTCCATTTCAGGATCGCCATAAAACATCCCCTAGATGGTGCCACAGTAGCGAAGGACTTTCACTTTCGACGCTTGTTAGTTTAATACTTATCACCTTGTTTTATTTGTTACGTTTCACGATTATTTATCTGAACAGTACTGGAACAGTGATTTTGTGTCGAAGAACAGTGTTGAAATTGCACGTGTTGGGGTTTGTGTATATTTAGAAGTTTGTGGAAAGGTTAATTAACAGAGGAACGTGAAATACCGAAGTACCACACTAC